GACGCTCTATGTCAAATTGTGGGTCACGTCTTACACCACGTCGCCTTCTCACTCTTGCCTGACCATTGTGCATCCCCAGACAGAAGCGGGATTAGTCACTAAAGACCACCTGATTCCATTCCCGGTTAGATAGAATTATTTATCTACACCAGAGCAAACGATTACGCCGATGTTCAGCTGTAAGAGCTAGCACCCAATGTGGGCGATAAGAAAAAATGCCAAACTGTCGTATTCGGCGATATACCATACGCATACCAACCATCCTTCCATGCTCTTCAAACCACTGATTAGTGATGGCTCGAGTACTACCGATTCTGTCTCTCAGAGCCAGAAGTCTTAACCGGCGGTCTTGTCGATCTGTGGTCCCTCTTAGGCGTCCAGAACCCCTCGCTCGCAGTCGGCCTTCCTTAGTCCACACTCGTTCACACTGCAGAATACTGCGTAAAGATCTGTTGGTCGTCCTAGAAACTTCTCTTATCGATAGGCTGACTTCACGCAACCCGACAATTCGACCCCTCTCAATTCTAGGCATTCTAGGCATTTTAAGCAATCACAAAAAGCCTTCTCAATAAGCTACACGAAATTTAACATTCAACTGACAGTGTAAATGTACCAATTTATGTAACACTTCCTTTCCGCAAAAAGTCCAGAAAAGATGGAATGCAATGAAGATTCCAACTTTTCTGCACAATCACAGAAAGGGGTTACAATTAGCTTCCGGTAGCTCAGTCGGTGGCATGAAGACATCTACAGGCGTGTAGCTGTGTGTCGACCATGGCATGGCTAGAGGATAGAAGAACAAACAAAACACAAAAATTTAACAGATTTTATTTAACAAAAAAAAAGGCATTTTCATTACATTACAATTTTACAAAAATAACAAAATAAGTTTTACATCTTTGGCGCTGCTATAACGCTATCGACTTATCTTTCGCTGGTCCATTTTTACTCGACTGAAGCCAGGATGGCCAGGGGCTTGAAGGGGAGGTCCCAGTTATGAGGGGTGACCTCCATATAGTGGCTTCACAACCAGTTGTAGGCGAAGTTAAAGGCGATGGCGCTGCCAAGGTACATGCATGGGTGAAAATATTGGCCAAGGCTAGGCAAAGTGAAAGGGAAAGAGAAAGGGGGTGGCCCCAATCATTTTTGTCCTATACGGACACACATCCTAGAAAATTCTAGCACATGGTGCTATATAACCTTGTGCTACTGAGAAGAAATTTCTAGCCGTTGTTCGATCGGCGGCTCAAGTGAATGCTTCTTTATCACGAAACAATACCCGCAGCCACCACAAAAACTTAACAGAAAAACCTGACCAGTTTATCACTTGTTCATGGCAAGATAAATTGATATGTAAAAAATTCTTGAATTCTAATAAACATACGTAGGTGTTTACCTTTTTTGTCACTCAGTATATTACACTACCCAGACGAGCTTATTTCACACCATTTTATTTCAGTTCAACACCTCAAACATGTATCAAAATGCATTGTAGGCACATATTTCGTTATTGGTGATCTGCTTTATCACTATAGGTAGATCGTGAAATTTAACTTTTCTATATAGTTGGTCACGTGTTACTTTGCATAATATAATTTCTTTGGTCCATATATCCTAATCCATCCGACGGACTCCCGTTCGTGGCGACACTCGAGTTGTACGTCAAGCACTCTTGACAAATTATTACGACGAATACCAATCCTCATAATGACATCGAGTAGTCCCATTCAAAGTATTTACCAAATAAACACCCGACCATTTCCGTTAATCTTCTCGACGACATCAATTACTCCCATTTCAAGTTGTGACGTTAATTTCATCAGACCACATCACCGATGACATCTATACACCCGTTCGAGGTGTTTAGTGAACTTGCGAAGTTAATTTCACCTGACTATATCCTTTATAGCATCGAATGATATCGATAATACGAAGTGTTTGGGTTGATATTTATTTACGTTCTTTTTATTATTCCTGTTAGCCGGTTCACTAACACTGCAATTCTATCACATGTACTGGGTGGTTCAATGTGGTATGGATGAAGTATTGCTCCGAGACAAATACTTTTTAAAAATCGTCCAGCATGTTGCTTAACAGGTTCCTGTAAGCATACAGATTTTCAGGATTATACATGGTGGCCCACTATTGTGCTATATATCAACATTGTTTTGTATTGACATTCTTTTTATCACAAATTTTCATACAACTAAATAAGTTTTGTTTTGAGATATATGTTTGACCTATAAAACACATAACTATGTTATTACGTATCTCGGCCACCTTATTAGCGAGTGAAAAAACTCCATTTTAAACGGAAGACAGGTTTCTGAGAACAACTCACAAATAGTATAGGATTTGAAAATGGGAAAATACACTGGTTGTACTATTTAAATGTTGTAAGGAACCATTTAATTATCTATTTTCGAGAACTCTGTACAATCTTGACTCAAACAGGTAAACATAAGTTCATATTTTTAGACCAAACTGTGATCAAAAAGTAAGGTGAAATTGTTATTTAAAACTACCTGTAGGTAGGACTGTCTATAACATTTGACAAGCGTCTGCTTGTCAAGAGGTTTAATTATCGCCGAGTTACACGTGTTTTTGTTAACAACCAAAAGTGAATTTTACATCAAATTTTGTTTGCGGAACGAATATTCTTGTGCGGTCACATTGAAAATGTTGCGGAAGACCTTTGGTGATCAAACTATGGCACAAAAAACGTTTATAAGTGGTATAACTAGCTCAAAGCGGGCCGAGACGAACCGCACTCTGGACGGCCATCAACGTCTACCGACGAAGACCACGTCCAACAAATCAAATATTTGGTGCATTGTGAAGGATGTTTTGTGTCTCAGACGTCGCGATGATGTGTATGAAACTTGCTGTCTGATTATCAGGACCACTTGAAATGCATCGTTACTGGAGACGAGACTTGGATTTACATATACGACCCCGAAACCACCGACCAATCCAGCGAATATCGTGCAAAAGATGAAGCAAGACCGAAAAGACCACGGCAAAGTCGATCGAAAACCAAGGTCATGTTGACAGTTTTCTTTGAGTATCGTGGCATGGTGCACTATAAATTCCTTCCGCCGGGCCAAACTGTCAACAAAGAATATTATTTAAGCGTTATGCGTGAAGCTATTCGTCTGAATCGGCCGGAATTATGGGCGAACAACTCTTGGTTCCTTCATCACAATAATGCACTATGTCATCGCGTTCGAGTTGCCAAAAACTCGACTCGTATCGTTCCGCAACCATCGTATTCGCCTGATTTAGCTACGTGCGACTTCTGGCTATTCAGCAAACTGAAACGGCCAATGCGATGACGCCGTTTTGACATGATTGAGGAGATAAAAACCGAATCGAAGATGGTCTTGAAGGCTATACCGGAAAAAGACTATTCCGACTGTTTCGAGGACTGGAAAAAGCGATGGCAAAAGTACGTTTTATCGGACGGGGATTACTTTGAAGGGGATGAAATCGATTTGTAAGCATAAATCAAGAATTTGCATTTCGTAAACAATATCACCTTACTTTTTCGTCACAGTAGTATGTCAAAAAAGATCATCAAAACGCAGAAGTATTCAGCGCTACACCGACACCCGACACCCTGTATAATCGTGAACATTTTTGGACGTTTGGACCATCCAGTACATGTATCAGAAGTGCAATGATGTTGAATAGGCCAGTAGGGATGATGACACGAACGTAAATAAATATCAAACATATTACTTACCAACCTTGACAATATGCTGTAAAAGAGAATGTATTACTCAAATTGGACACTCATCTCGTAAACTACTCGTGGAAAAACTTTGGGCCCATATACACTTCTGTTTTCAATGTTTCGAACATACTAAATAAAAAAACTAGCCAAAAACCGCTGCCCATAAGATTTTGGAGGGGTCTTTCGCTAAATTAATTTCACCGGATTATTTTCACTAATCCATTCAATGACATCAACTGTATTCTTGTTGGTGCTTAGTTAATTTCATCGGACTATTCATTAATTTGTCCGACTACCCCTCTTCGAGGTGTTTGGTGATTTCGGCAAGTTAATTTCATGATACTATTTCCGTTAACCCACCCATATTACGTAACTTAAAAATGACACTATATCGATTATTAATGACATTATGTAGGTTTTTCCGTACAAAAATCACCTTGGAACGAGCTGTCACATTCACTTCATGTTCACTTGTAGCAGAGGTGTGTGTTGCGGAAACGTCATGACACTCCAGCTATATGGTTTGGCTCTGACGTGACGTAACATCTCTCAAAGATGGTAGCACAGTAAGCCATTTATAACTTCTATGGCTTAAACTGTAAATTCCAAACTAGATCGTTGTTGCATTCCTTCATAGGTGTTTGCAGCGAGTGCGCGTGTCATGGACTGTCAACTAGGTAGTACACAACCTTGACATTATACCGATTTTTCTTAATAACATTGTAACAATTTTTTACGAAATATCCCTGCAGTTCGAGGAGTTTGTCTAATAATTATGCGAAGTTAACTTCACCAGACTATTTCCTGTAATCGACTCTACGACTTCAACTACACCCGTTCAAGGTATTTCCTTTATAGACCGACGAAGTTATCAGTCTATATTTGGAATTAAAAGCCTCAAACGGGAGTCCTAGATGTCGTCGCCCTCTCTGGTCGGGCCAGACGTAAGCGCTTCTCCAGCGAAATTGGACATTGACATTACACTACGTATATAACGTGCACTTTACAAGGCTCAAACACTACCTGAACCAGTTCTTGCATTAAAAACGTTTATTGAGAGTACAGTTGATGAACTTCAATCTTTCATTTATAATTTGCGATCTATTTAGAATGATTTGCTCTAATCGTTTTGAGGTGTACATATAAACGTAGTAACTTGAATATCGATGATCATTCGAGACGCGCTATTGTTCTAACAAATGCAACTAATAACATAAAAATTGGGTAACATTCTGCACGACTGCAAAAGGAATAATAACGTAGATTTTTAAGATAAATATATTTGTCTTGCAACCTAAAAGCTCTAAATTAAAACAGTAAATGGGCATAAAAAATAAATAAAACACCTATAATTGCAATAAACTTACACTGCTGAAAACAGCAGATAATTTAAAACTCACTAATTTATCTACAACAATATACGAGAAACAACGAGAATTATGTTCTAGATTACATAAAATTGTAAAATTTCGGTGAATACATGCTCAACAAAATGTTGGACCAACAATATAGATTATGCACACAATATCTTTGAGCAGTAGTAGTTTCAAAAACATATTTTCTTATATAACTATTATATATAATTCCCTCATAGGTACAATGAATAATTCCAATGTCTATTTCGAAATCGTATCCTCTACAATTTTTGTCTGGGCGGGTCAAATCTTAGAGATCCCAAAAATTGCATACAAAACCATGCTAAATATGCAAATTTTAGAGGACAACTACATTCTCAGGCGGGCACCCCTTCTCCCATACTGTGGGCGCCCATATCCTACAACTACTACTTTTTTCGTATGGCAGCCATACAATAAATATTCTATCATCACAGTAACATGATACATGTTCGCTTTATGAGTTATAATTTTTTAAACGTGGAGCAAGACCACTTCGCGAGGCGCTCACCCTTGGAGGCCTCCCTCAACGAGGCGCCATCCAGAAGTCGCCAGCAACAGTAGCCAAACTAACCTACTGAAATATACAGGGTGTCCGCAAAGTTGGGGCTTTCCTTTACACGGCGTATCGATCTAGAGAAAGCAAGCAGTTTTTTCCTAGTAGCATATACATCAAAGTCTTAAGATGGCAGAGATACTAGGCTCCGCAAAATCAACCGAACCTAAAGCAAACCTAATCCGCTCCTTTATATCGATCACATCAAAAGTGAGAAAGCACGACGTACGTCAGTTAGTACCTAGGGGCCAGCAACATAGGTAAACAAAACATATTGAATCTTGTAGAAGAATCCTTCAACGAGTGCTGGTGAAGTGGCTAGACAAGTGCAAGTCATCAAGACTCGGGGCCATATCGTCAGTCGTTACTACAATTATTGTAGGATACCTTTATGACCTGCTTGATTTTCTTTCCTTCAGACAGGCTGGGATATTTCTAGATTTGTACTATTACTTTGTCAGCCTCAGCGCCCTCCTATTGTGAAGCTGTTTTCTTTTTGAAGTGTAGGAAATTTCAGGCTGATATAACGGATGATGTAAATCAAACGTAAGAACAATTTAATGCAAATAGCTATTTGTAACATAACCCCGAAATAGAGCGCTGACGGTACAGTAGAAAACTATGAAAATCTAGGAGGCAATAAAGGCGTCCTACAACTGTAGGAATGACTTACGATACAGCCCTAAGGTATGGAAAACGCTGCGTGATGATGGATGGTATTCTTTTGTACGATCCCTCCAAACTGAGGATTTTCCCGCAAGAGTGCTTTTTTGTGAAAGGTTGTTGCAGTCCATTTGGTCACCGACCTCCACGCGGAACGGGGTTAATAACCTCCGAAATACTCATATGATATCATTGGTAAATCCTCATGTAGTCCGCCGGTCATAGTTTCAACAAACATGTTCTTCGAATGTTTGGGCTGGCATGGTTTTATTTTCCCGAATCTACTGGATGGTTTACAGTACCTAGACTTTCTACGAAACATTTTATCAATGACGACAACTTCTAACAGTACTTATAAGTGACAGAGCCGTACTTCAAATGTATCTGCAAATGAGATGAGATGAGATTACATTTATTTATTTTTTTTTTACTTTTTCGCTACTGTTTCACCACATATTCGCTGCTTTGTTATTTCAGTCCCAGCTTTCAGGACACCCTATATAGCAGCTAGTGGCGATTATTTTGGCGGTGCCTCCAACCAGAGTTATATCGGCGTCGTACGATATTCCGAATATTTTTTGAAATCTAAACTAAAAAAAAACTACAAGTCTGTGATAAGAGACAGAACGGCACCACGTCATCGACAGCAAAAGCCACCGCACCAAGCCTGAACCACGTTCGCGAGACTAATGGCATACCACTTATTCGAAAACTATGTGGCTGTCACACTTACACTGTGAAATATTCAAACTGAACTTTCAAAAAGTAAGTTAAGCAATAAAATGCAGGTAAATTCCTTATTGTTTCTTCATATTTTCCATCATCTTTACTATGCCACTAGTGTCATGAATTATTTTAGGCTTATGCGAGGTCGCTATATCCTACTACTAACGCGCTCATTGAGGGGCAGGGAAGTGAAATTATTTCGGTTCCATTACACATAACCAAATGACAGCCCCCATACTTAAGCAACGGGGAGCCAAAAGACGTGTCACGTTTGATACATGCAAATGACAAATCTCGGCGCGGTTCCCTTCGTCCCCTCAATGTGCATGCAAGTTTAAGGCGCCTTTCCACGCAACACGAGACGATGACGCGCGACCATGCTTGCCCATTGCTTTTATACGCAGGCTAGTTCGCGCGATAGAGCAACAGGAGGCAGGGCGCTTAGCATTTATACCACTTCCACTAAAATATGTAAATTCGGACTTCAAAATGTTATACGTTATGTACTTTTGGAGCTGTTTTTTTTAATGATGGTATTGCACTTATTCCCATGTATATGACCAGTGTCACCCCTAAATGATACCTTCAACATTCTAGATAAAGATGGGGCATTGAGTGAAGAAAATCGATCTTATAAAAACCGATATTCCTCTATTTAAATCGATTTGTGAAGGATTTGTTTTCTTATATTATTCGAAAAACTGCATGCTGACAGAGCAGCCCAATAGAACGTAGCGGGAGCTTGGATCAACAAACGCTCAAATTTGAGAGATCAGTAGTTCGCCACTATGTTAAACATTGAACCGCTTATTGAGGCAGAACATTCTCTAAAACCTCGTTTTGTGTCTAATAAATAAATCCATTTATTGAAAAATTTCATTTGTTTCTACAGCATCATCAAAAAAGAAAAACGTACTTTTTCTCCAAAATTTCAAATGGAACATCGTGAACTTAATTTGAGTTTTTCCACCTGTCGCACAGATAGTGTTGTAGATAAAAATATACTAAAATTTGCAATTTACTTAATCGATTTATTATTGAGAAAATCGATTTCTTATTGAGAAAATCGATTATAAAGAGAAATAATCGATTAAATTAATATAATATTAAACAGTAATTAGTTGATTTGAAACACTAGAAACAGACATGTACAGGGTGGTTTTTTAGTGAGGGTTCAATCGATAACTCGTTATTTGACATGGTTTCTAAAAAAATTAGCATGCCCCTGACTTGTCAAATGAAGCAATTTAATGTAACATACTATATAGGGGCTGTTTCAATTTGTTGAGATATTGGCCATATCAAAGAAAATGTCACTTTGACAACTAGCACCTCCGCTGGAGCACTGAATTTTTTGTAAGAAGAATTTTATCACTCCATATTTTCTCCCTATCTACTAACTTTGTGATTTTTTTTTATTTATTCAGGGTCGTCAAGAACGAAAAATGGATTATTTCTCAAAATTTTCAAATGGAGCACTCCCTATTTTTTCATTCTTTTTTCACAAGCTTTCTTTTGATGTAGGTTTGTAAGAGTGCTTTTTAAATTAAGATAAGCTTTTATATATCAAGATATGTCGAAAATATTGCAACACCATTGAAAATAAGAAATAGGAATTAGTGGCAGTAGATTGATTATCTATTTTACAATAAAGCCGAAGGACGACTAATTCTTTCTGGTGGTTTAATTGCAAATTTAATATTACCAGTGTTTTGCCATAGAAGAGATTTAAATTCGTTAGATTCAAGCCTTGACTACAGCACTAGCACTAGACCGATTTTAGCCGTTTCAGCATAAGTAACATAGTTTCAGCATGGTGCTGTTCTTCATTCAAATGATATTTTAAGCCATAACATCAATAGATCAACAATGTAGCGTTTTCAAAGTCAGAAGCATATTGACAGGTAACTTAACTTTTTTGATAGCATGTGTTATAATGGTGCTATGGAACGATTATGCATTAAAAACACATGGGCACCTTCCTGAACTTTTAACATTACTGCATAAGATTGGATAGACTTAATAAATGCTATTTTCATTCTAAAAGATATTTTAATATTTTTCATTTACCTCGATACCTGATTTACAAAAAGGTTAGCTGTAACTCAAAAAAGAGTCTTTATCATAAGAACACTTGTGAAAAGGAAAATCAAAGAATGTGAAAATAAACAGAGTATTCCATTTAAAAATTTTGAGAATCCCTTCATTTGACGTTCATGACTGTATAAACTATCAAAAAAACTGAAAAAGTATCTGGATAAGAAGAAAATATGAAACATCATAAAAATTTCTTCAATTGAGGAGGCCCGAGTTTTCAAATTCGAGTGTTTTTTTCGATAGGTTGTCCAAAAGTTCAACAATTTGAAAATAAAACCCTATTGTATGTTATATCAAATTGCTTCGTTTGGAATGCCTATCCAAAGCCTGCATTAAAACGTAAGTCTTTTTCTATTAAAATAAAATGTATCTTTGGGTCATCACATAATTATATACTTATGAATCACCCAATAGAGACAAAAATATTTTCCAAGTAAGGAGCATATACTGTTGGCCCATGCGTAACTCCGTTGACTTATCGACCAAGCCTACTCTAAGAACTTAACTTGTATGTCTCGGTCGCACGTCGCCGACTCGTATTCCTGTTACCTATCACTGCTGAGACGCTTTTGCAAGGCATTTGCATAGTTTTATGCAATAAGTTTGTAATATTGACAAACGCCTCTGCTGTTTTCTGATTTAACATATACTTTTGCTGTACATTGACATTCTATTAATTTTCTTAACCTATATTAATTTTGTACATATTATGTTATCTATAACTATATTTTACACTTTCTTAAAAACAACTACTGAATTGTTTTTCCTTCACCTTTAATATGCAATAAGTTTTGACCAACATTATAGTTATGGCTGACCATTAACTGTACTTTTGTGAGTTTGTTCAGTTTAAAATTGACAAGCATTTACTTGTTGGCAATATATTTTCATATTAATGTAGTTATACCTGACAATCAGCAAATTATGATGGGTTACATGGGGGTGGCCGTTCTTTTGTTAGCTGCAAAAGATTTTCTCTGATTTCTTTGCTGATCTCTTCTGCTTTAGGTACTTCTGACATTACCCATGTCTCATCCGTACTATCTAGTCTCTCTCTGCATATTGGACAGGTATCATGAGTCTCATTCCTAAAAGAATTATTGTACTTCTGAGAAAAGAAAAAATAATAATTATAATTTTACATAAACATATAAAGCGATTAATAAAATTGTGTATCAGCAAGGTAATCAAACAGAAAAAAACAATTTATGTATTTATAATAAACGTGGAACTGATGGGATATCAATTGTATTGAATTATTTAAATTTAGAATAAATATATGAGAACCATATTTTGTCAAAGTGTCTCTTCATAAACTGAAAAACTTCCACCAATATAATCAAAGAATTTATTTATAAAAATGAGGTTGTTGTATACTAAATTTTGAGGCAAGTTTTTGTGTTCTTGCTTCCATTATGTACAAACCATCAAACTTTCTGACTATATCGTTATATCTTTTGTGATATTTGAGACTCAAGGCTCCACAGGGCAGAGCTTCTAAAAAGATAAAAAAGGCATTTTGCAATGAAAAATTAGTAATTAATATTTTGAACGGAAACATGAGTTTTAAAGCAATTCTCTTAAAATCGAACAGCAATGGGAGGGGGTAGCATAACTTAAGTAAAGCATCTGAAAACTAGTGCTGACGATCGAGAAAAATAAAGTTCCGGGGAGCGGTGTATGCCTAAGCAACACTGTGAAAATGAATGCCTTTATGAATCGCTTTATTTTATCCTCAGCAAAATCCAGCAGTACTGCTCCACTTAAATGAGGGCCTGAATCATTACATAGAAACATGATGATTACAAACTGAACTAAAATAAACAATACAAACGTAGAAAAGTACAATATGTGCACCTTATTTTAGTCTTGGAACCATTGTTATAAGATAGTTATTCACAATTCACTGTATTTGCGTACACCGTTCCTCATATAACTATTTCTTACAGTTGTTCTTAAGCTAATACGGTTGTACAACTTTGGCCAATTGTAGCTGAAGGAACGCGCAAGTAGGGAAGCCTTATACACCTTGGGAAAAACCATTGTTATACATGGGAAATCATTTCTTGGCAACAGAGCATCGGCTCGTCTACTTTCATCGCTATTCGTACATATTTCCTACCGTTTACCGCAGACCTGTATCACGAATGAGAATAATAGGCAGATACGCTGTGTTGCCAATTTGAGTAGAGCTTCCCTAATTGTGGGGTATTTAGAGTTAAGTGTTGATTCATTCAAGCTTTTAATCAGCATGGCCTAGACGTTAGAACTTCTTAAAGATAACATTGAAGCTGAATGCTGCTGGAGTATAGTGTTTCGAATATTCAAAGCGGAGCGGGACACTATACTCGTTCAATGGGTCATCAAGCCACAGTCTTTTCAACAAAGAAATTATTTTACGAAAATGCGTTATATTTTTACGATTTTGTCGTCACCAAATCTCTGTTTCTCAAAATGTACGTCTATTGTACAATTTTCAGCAAACTAAGCAAGAAACGTGATCTAGTATTTACTCAACATTACGGATTTCTCGAAATACATTAAAAAATGTGACCTAGATACCTAACTGCCCCAAGCTCTTTAAATATAACACCTTAAACCAGGGTTACCAGGTGCTCAGTCACGTTGATTGTCATGTTGTACTGCGCAAGTCAGCAAACAATCTGGCGTAATAAACGTTAGGAATCATCAGGTATTGCCAGATTCCCGAATACCGGGCACCATAGTAACCGTTATAGTTGTCCTTCAAAGTTGTCAAATCGCCCCTATGGCGCAAATTCGCCACACCAGGCAACTGTACTATAAACAAATCCTGTTTATCACTACTATTTGATAGTCATATGGTAGTTGTAGCCCTATCTAGCGGTCCATGATTTCTCTCAATACTGTTGTATCTCTACTGGCAACAAGAATAGGGATTACAAAATCATTTATACAACAATATACAAACATGAAAAATATGATTTGAACCATGAAACATTAATACAATTTTAATAGTTTGAACTTTTTTCATTTTTGGAATACTCTTATGAGGAATCCGCAGCTATTTTTCCCGAAATTTGGGTAGACTTAGATTTCTTAGAAATATGACATATTGGTATCGGCAACTCTGCGAATGGGAGAAACAAATCGCATTTGTTGAGCGCATCCGTCTAAGCGGTAGGCGCCAACGCCCGTTCTGCCATCTCTCTCTTTTATCACTCTTCTACTTTACCCCGTTGTCCGTCACACTGCGACGCTGCCGATAGGATCCTACAATCGAGTGTCTTTCACGCACCTACATACTTTTGTATATTTCCATCTCTCTTCCTCATCATAATGTATAATAATGGTTTTTCCCAAGGTGTATACAGGGTTGCCAACTTAGTAGATTTTCTACTAGATCTGGTAGATTGCAGTCTTCATTTAGTGGGCAAAATTACGTTTTAGTGGCTAGTAGAAAATCCAGTAGAATGAAAGAATCAGAATAATTAGTAAGCCACTTTCGATTTATATCATTATGAACCTTAGTTACTCATGTCAATTTGTCAATTGAAGTAATAATTCAAGAAAGTAGCAAACTGTCATTGGGAAATATCCTATTTTGATTTAGTTGAACATCGAATCGATAGATGGCAGAACCAATGAATTAATTTGCGTATGCGTACTTCTTCTCTTAGTTCTCCTTTGTCGGAAATCAGGGGTATGAAAGTCAGATGAACGATTTTGCGCCTCGTTTTGGGACATCTATTGGGGTTGCACATCACTAACTGCATGATGTTTGCCAATTCCTTCGGTAGATGGCGCGAGAAATTCAGCCGCCATCTTTTTGTCACGTGATTTGATCACGTCACGTTCTGAGCTTCATCCACGGGAATCACAGACATTGTTTTTTCTTGCACAGACAATTGAAGTTTATCTCGTATACGATGATTTAGGTGATTTTTGAACATTATTTACAGTATAATTTGTGTGCTTTCTAGTAGCTATAGCATACTATTCTATTTTAAGACTGCCTGCCTAATTATTTGATTTTGGTAAGTGAGCATGATACTGATACATAACATATATGATGTAGATTACTTTGAATTGTTATGTATTACAGATTACAGAATCATGCCTAAACCGCAATATACTCAAAAGTTTCGAGACGCATGGTTAAAGGACCCTAGTTTAAAAGAATGGCTGTTGGTTATTGACAGCACTTTAGGAAGGGAAGCTAAATGCGAATTTTGTAGTAAAATAATTACGAGTCATTACGCCGACCTTAAAAGCCATGGTGAATCCAAAAAGCATAAGGAAAACGCAAGATTTGACTGTATTAATAGTGAATTATTTTTATTTTTAGAAAGTGTATTTTTTATTATTCGTGCAAGGACTAAAATTAATGCGTCTATTTTTGTTTCGTTTCTAGATAAAATATATTTTGGCAATATTACTAAATGTTCTGCTTTCATTTATAGATTTGCCTTTATCTTTAATATTTACAAAATATATTTTCACAATATAGTATTACTAATTTGAAATAATATATGTCCAAAAATCTAAATTAGAGTAAAAACTAAAAATACATAATATGCGCACACGCCTTTAAAACCTAAAACGTAATTAACTGCAAAATGAGGGTTAGCTATAACTACAGTATATTCAGATAAGAGATAGACCGGATGTAAACAAAAGGTTCGGGTGATTTTCACGCTAACGCCGCCGTCTCGACGTAAAACAGGAGCCCTCATTGGTCAATTCGCAATTAAATGCCTATGCCGAGCGGCAGAGCAGTCGTATCAAGGCAGAGTCACATTCAGGTTCAGACGTGTTACGTATGTCGTGTGCATCATTGCAATTTGATATTTCTTTGGACGTTTTCGTTTGTTATCTTATTAAGTTGTTGAGTTTGTCGTTGTTATTGTTATACCTTGTTAAAATTATAGGCTAATTTAAACGCCATTTTGAGATTATATTCGACTGTATTTCACCATACATCAGACGGCATCCGAAGCTGGAAATCGAAGCGAAAATTTTGAAACCCTTATGTATATTTACATTATTATATATTTCTTACCCCACCCCCACATGATCCTATATCCATCACCAATCGTATACACATCGAATTGTGCTAATTTACTACAAAGTTACGCAAAGCAGCATCTACTATCTAAAATATGTACTGCGTGACTCTTAATACGTCCCTGCCGAATGTTACAGCGTTCGATGATCACGTGGTCTTGTTTATGTCCGGTCTATCTCTTATCTGAATATACTGTAGTAGATTTTCTGGTAGATTTATGAAATTCATAATTTTCATCTAGTAGATTTCTGGTAGATCTGGCAGTGTGATTTAGTAGATTTGATTACCGAAGTGTTGGCAACCCTGGGTGTATATGGGAATATTTAGTAACTCTACATTTGGTACATTGATGCTATGTTCCATATGTCTAAATTTTATATTTTCATACAAATATTTTGGTACCTTGATCTCAATAGTTTTATTTATTAGACACGTCAGATGTACAGATCACCTGTTTTTAAGATTCAAGCACTGTTGATTAGCGGAAAGCAGCGAGCTCTTCTACTTATACCACAGATAAGCCTAGCACAAGCATTTTGGAGAGATTCTAACTTCCTTACTGACACCTGGTCCAAACATGGGTCATAGACTACATCACCATATTTGTGAAACTTAGTACTAAACTATAAGCAGATTTTTATGAGTAAAGTTCCTACTGCGATTATGATGTGTTCCAAAAAGTAATATTTATGTCTTGACAGTTTATTTTCAAGACATGTGCTGTAAAATAATTTCTTATATTAATAATACAATTTTGCACTTTTTCTAGAGCAAATGTATGCTTGTCATTAGAACTATTACTCAGATCAAATGTGAACAGTAGAATTAGCAATAGACCAAGTAAAGAGCCTTGTGGAGCACCCTTGCTCACTGGCAAGGCATCAAATTTTTATTATCAATAAGAACATATTGTTCACTACTAAGCAGGTATGACTTCAGTAGTTGTCGTGTAGATTCTGAGAAATTCAAGTATTTTAACTTGGCACACAGCAAGCTATGATCAACAGGGTTAAGGCTTTGCTAAAATCCAATAACACGAGTGTTGACAGTTTACCATCATCATAATATTTCAACAAATCATCCAGAATTTTCAGCAGTACGGTAAATGTACTGTGTTTCTTTCTGAACCCAGATTAAATGGGTGGGATATCACATACATTGTCAGGTAGTCATTAAACTGAGTATATAATTTTTTTTTGAAAAGACTCACAAAAGGCGTATCACTATTGCAGTATTTCAATCCTATGGGAAGTAACACGTATTGAACATCTAAATGAAGAATAACCTCAAGACAGCAATGCTTACACATCTGGAGAGTAATATGATCTGCACCCATAGCATTAAACTTCACTGCTTTTATAGCTGCATGGTCTGAAATTTTGTTCAAATGACAAGGGTTAGGATTTCCAAGCAAACGACGTGTAAGAATTTTTCAGTTTCAAGTAATACCTTACAAGGCATCTAATTTATAGAATTGATGAAATAACTATTGATATTATTTACACCTCTCAAGTTTCAGGACAGTTGATTTTCTGTGTGATTTACATATCCTTTTTCCCGTCGCACAGCCTCAGTAACAGGGTTCTGTAGTTCCTGATATGTATGCCAACCAGTTTCACTTTTACTCTGTTTATATTTGGTAAGCAGTTTGCTGCGCTCCTGAACCATCAGCTTAATGGTAATGCTGGCTAAGGTGCTCTAGGCTTGGAAACTCTACGTGTAATAACAGGAGCGCGACTAACAAAGAGTTGGAGAAAGATGGTAGTGAAAATTTGTGGGATTTTACAAATTTCTATGTTCAAGTCACAGTATAAAATCGGGTTCATGTCAATATGGCAAACACTGGAGAAAACTAGATCTTCCTTAAATAGGACTAAGATATCTAGCAAAAAATTCTTCTCAGATGGCTCTTTTACAATTTGGCTAATGTTATACTTTTACAAAATGTCTTATAGGTTAACATTGGTATCACCCATAACTATAAATTCATCACTAGGAGGTATATTGTCAGCTAACAATTTATCAAGCACATTGAGCGAATCTGCAAGGTTTGAATGTGGGGTCGATAGATTACGGCAATATCGAACTTTAAACCAGACAGATTAGTTGTTAAACATATTTTCCAAATGTAAATCAGGTGGGTGGTTGAAGAAAAGATTTATTGGGGAATGAACATACATATCGACACGATCAGCTTTGCAAAATATATAGTCCTCAATTGTTTCCAAGTTGTTATCCACATTTGAGGAAATCCACTTTTCAGTGATCCTCAGGATTGAAATGTCATATTCTTCCAACAAGTCACGAATTTCGTTAACTTTATTGATTAATGAGCGAATAACCACGCACGCAATTATGTTGCTGTTATATAAATTTTATTAACTTTATCAGCCACTGATGAGAACGAATAGTGACATACCCAATTTTACTTTATCCATTATCAACCAAGATTAAGCGCACTCACAATTTTACATAAAGGCCCAAACTTCATTCACTTATAAAGCACCCACATCAGCTTTTCAAACAATTTTCACTATCACACCACCATCTACAGAAAATTTAGAGTGGAATAGTGGAGAGTCTTCATTATAGCAGTACTCTGACACATTTGCTGCATAATCATTTGCAATCAGATTTGCATTTTTGAAATGCTAAAAACTGATAGATAGATAGATATCTATTGATTACATTTCAGGAATTGATACAAGTGACAAGTCAAAGAAGGAGAAAATAAATATAAAAGCAGCTCTGGCATAGTAATTTCTTTACCTTGTGCTTAAACTCCTTATTTTTTGTGATATCCCTTAGATAATTTGGTAAATTGTTGCATATGGAGATGCGATTGAAGGGCTTGGGGCGACAAGGTACCTAAGCCACATTGACTTTATTTCGAGAAATTTGACATTGCAAGTTGTATGTAAATCCTGAAATCATGCTTTATTTCACTAGAACCAACACAATATAGTCATAACTGGGGAAGTTAAGATTCGGTGACGACGCGTAAAAAAAAATATGACATATTCCGGTAAAACAAATTTATTTTTGAAAATTTTTTGGATAACTTGAAGAAAATGTTTAGCTCATATCCGGCACTTCTTCTTCATCACCATCTATGTCTTCAACTTCTGCTTGTCCTTCTCTTGGCTATTTACTCTCTGGTTCAATATCAATGATGTTTCCTATAACCTCAACAAAAAACTGCTGACTGACAGGTGGGATGTATTTTAAAAGCTTTTTCAGATCTTGGATCTTCTTGTCATTCAGTATTATAGGTCCATTGTATTTCCTCCTCAAACCTTTCAAGATTTGTTGATGTCCTAGTCGAAACCCTCTTCTACCCACATTTACCTCAAGAAATTCTCCATTAAGGGTATGCTTTACGAACATAGAATTTGGGTGTTCGATGTCAAACTTAAAACAGCGCACTTCATTAAATTTGACGAACTCCTTATCTATGGTGAAGTGTTTTTCGCGATGGATGATGGAATCAAATGCGTAAAAGTCTTGTTGTTGCATTAAGACTGTATCAAATGGGGTTTTTCTATTTGATTTCTTAACAATATCCGCCCAGTCTTCTGGACAGTATACCTGTTTGAAATACTTTTTATGCTTTTCAATGATAGCAAAGTCTCTATCTGAGGGTAAGTGAGTATGGCCAGAAATGAGGAAACGGTGCTCTATTGACTTATAGAATCCTTCTCGAACAAGTTGGAGCAACAAAGACATGGTTACCCAGTTTTTGTTCTGGCCTCCACAGTTATCAGTAAAAACCACAAGTGCTCTTTAGTGGAAGATTTACCTTGTAAGTATTTTAGCAGAATGCTTGCATCTCTTCACTTCCCCTTTTTGCAGTGGTCTCAGCCCACAAAAACATATTACCTTTGCCACTGACGCAATCGTGTATGCCGAGGTTGTATGTCCAAGCCTTTCGTACATAGAATGCAGGGCCCACAGCTAGTGAAGGCGTGGGAAGAGTCTGTTGCAAATCAAAGGATATAATATCCTTAGTGGAATATTTCGTATTGTCAGAAACCTTTTTTCAAACTGTCCTGCATGGCAAGTGCTCTCGTCTGATGAAGCTGCAGTTGCGTTCTAAGGTTATTAAATTCTTTCAGGTTTTCTTTATTAGCTTCCACATGGTTATTTAGAAAATCGCACGTATGACAAGTGTCACTCTAGGGCAACTCAAAGCCTATATTGTTATCTGAACAGAATGTCCGCCTATACCGGTCTTCTACTACTGCTGTTATTCCACGTTTTTTGCACCACTCAATATAGTAATCCTTGTAAAGAGTAGATATGTTGAGGACGTGGTTTAGGAAAACTCTATTTGGATTGACGTTTCGACTATAGTGGCTCACATACTTTGGAATGGCTTGACTGTGGTCATGAACAGACTGAAGCCTTTCTGCAGAAGTTTTGTTGGGCCTGTTATGGTGTTTTCTCCTACCATCCCTTTTTGGAGTTGTTCTACTTTCGAAAAATTGCTGAGCGATAAGTTTTAATCGCTTACTACTGTTTTGAAGTCCATGGACAGACAAAAATTCAGTTTTACTTATTTGAATGTCAACTCCATTTATCTTGACGAAATATTGGTTTGTTACCCGTCGAGCCGATTCCGGGCGTTTAATTTTCTTTTTGTAGCTTCTTTTCTTTGGTATAACCTTTATAACAGAAAACAAACATGTATTTTGTTTGTCATACGAGTCCAAGTCCCAAAATGACTTAAATATAGTGGATTTACTTCCTTGGAGCAGTTGTCTGCAGTTCTTTTTGCACTGGCATCGTGGACCTAACACTTTAGCCTCTCGTTGTCGACCCTTAAAATCCATGTAGCTGTGACCAAGATTTCTGCGTGTTTTCGACTTTACTTTAGCCCTGCCTTCAATATTACCTTTTCTCCATCTAGATTTATTTGGTTTTTCGGGAGTAAGCATTTTGCCTCTGCTTACAACCACCTAAAGCCCATTGTAGTATTACAAAAAAATCATCCTTTGGCTAATGCTTCTTTCAGTTGAACACAAGAGCTTAGTGAAATTTATTAATATTGGAGGTAACTGTTCAATAATAACTAATTTTTAGTAGCAGTAATTCGCAATACGATGTCAAAAAAGTTATCCCTAATTTGGTGAAGAGGGCCACTTAGACATTTACATGAATTTTTGGCACGTATTGAAGTTACTCGCGGCCTATTTTATCGTTCATAAGGTAGGATTACGATATTTTCTGCGAATTGATCTAAAGTCATTATCTAATGGCATCGTGAAAATAATATAAAAAATCGTTTTCCTACGTGAAAAAAGCATAAGCCACATCTATAACGGCAATAAGGTCATAAGCCACAAACTTATTCATTCACCCGAGTTTCTCGTTCAGTCACTGTCACAACTGCTACCACTCGGATGATAGTCTCTGTCCTTCATACTATCATCTGAAGTAAATTCAGAGTCATTTTCGCCCACTGAGTCACTAAAACAACTATTGTTTTCACAAGCGAACAATTTTCGTTTGGCGTCCATCTTGATATCTATGTGGCTTATGTCCTTTTCAGTGCAAAAAGGTGTAGGATATATGCATCTGACAAAAACGTCCTCTATGAATTATAGTGACATCTATCAACGAAACTTCAAACAAATCAATTCGAGACATAGTTAACTACAGTACTGGTGTGTTCGAATGAAAATGTAAATTTGTATTCAAATGTGGCGCATGTCCCTTGTTGCCCCAAGCCCTTCAAATGTGAAATACAGATCTTCATATGCTGTTGTTTTATGCCTAAGAAAACTTAAACTTATCATCAGTCAACCCAGTGCCGGTTTTGTGGTACCACTTCCCACACAAGCATATTTTAGACTATACTGAGTTTTTTTGTGATATTATTCCTGCACTTTCCACACTCATAATCTTCCTTTGCTCATGATGACCCGGGTTGACTAGACTATAACACCAGCTACCTATATCTTGTAACAGGAACTTTTTGTTGCTTCTGGCATACTTTTTGTAATTGAACCAACCAAGACCAACATTTCACTGGAAACAAACTTTTCACAACACTTGGGTTTTCTTACAAAAATCACATTTTTGACAAAATAAGGAGAGCACTTTTTACACACATCTATTCACTGTATTTTGTTCAGTAGTACTGTTGTTTAACTCAGAAATACCATTTTTTATAATTGGTTTCGAAAAAAGGTATCGCCAAATTATCTGGGAAAAACCTCAGACTAAAAATATAAATAGACAAATAATTCCCTACAAAATATCGTCGTCAACATAACTGTATTTACGGTAAACAAATATATGCGACGCTGCCACTTCTCCATACTGAAAAATCTATTGAAAATGGAATGAGATATTGGTGTGCTCTCCGCCCGAAATGAAGGTGGACTTAAATAAGGTGTGGACGCTCCGGTCGATCGTGGGTCGATCAAACAACTGCTCCTAGGCAGTTGTCAACGTCATTTTAAATTTTGAAAATTTATTTTTTCTTTTCATATTTGTTTATACTCGCAAAAACGGTCACAGAGGTGGCCGACACGCCGTAAATTCAATTCAAAACGGATGCAGGTTCATGTTGGGTAATTCACAGCGAACATTACATATAATATTTTGCCCAGTCAGTTGTTTGACTGGATTTGTTCCACCTTGGACGAAACTTGCTCTCATTCGAAAGTAGCACATTTCTACCGACTTTTTGCCGAACGTGGCAACGGTGTTCAACGGCAAGTGGTGGATGCGTACACAGAATCAGCGCCACCTTCAACTTAGTTGAAGGTGGCGCTGACAGAATTTACAAACATCTGGTGTTTGTTGGTGTGCACAGTGAATTTGTTGCGAGTATTCAAAAGTGTTTTCAGGTTGTTTTAGCGCCAATTATAGCATTGTTATCATTGATAGACAATTTTCAAAGACAATGGGACTCGGAAGCGCATTATTTGTGGAGTTAGCAGTGAAAAAACTGAGGCAACCTTCCACAGGTGAGTTAGAGGTTAGAGGAGGACAAGGGCGTAGCGCATGGGGATGCGTTGTGATTTTTAGTATTAAGAAATAGACATTTTATAGTTATTGGTTGTTTTTACACTGTATGTGTGGTGATTTTCAAAAAATACTCTTCTGTTAGACACGTTTTTGATCTTTCAGGTTTCCTAGTGATAAGAAAAAACAAGAAGAACCGTGCACTATCCTCAATATTGACATAAATGATTTACCACTTCATGCCTTTATTTGTGCAAATCATTTTCACAAAAGTGATTTAATAGAAGGCAAAAGAACTCAACTAAAGCATTCAGCAGTTTGCCTTTGAGGCAAACAGAGTAAGTCCTAAATTATATTTAGCTATTGGATGAAATGGAATATTTTGTTGCTATACTTTTACTTATCTATTTTAAAGTGATTCCAGTGATGAGGAGAATGAAATCAATCTTGCCCAGGAAATTGCCCTAAGCCATTCAAATAGTGAACAACTGGAAAGCAGGGATCTACCTAGGTATGAAATTAAATAATCTCCTAAGTATCTAGAAGTTTAACTATTGAAGTATTTACAGAGAACAAATAAAGTCACCAGAAGTAGCAACAGAAATGGTATGTGAATACAGTTTTCCTGAACAAGATCGAACAACAGATAGTAGCACCCTATCAGCTTCGCTGTCAGGTACCCAGTCATTAACTGAAACCGCTACATTAAGTGCTTCACAATCAGGTACTGGAAGTATCCCAGTGACACCACAGTCCTGTACCCATGCCTCAGAATTAGATATGATGTACGTACCTAACTACTTTTATTTTCAAGGTCAGCCAGCTAATATCAGTCTTTATTTTGGTGCATTGTATTTTCATTATTACAGGATTTTAAACACATTCATAGAAGCAAAAGGTGACAACGGAAAAGGTATTAAGATTTTATTTTGATTCTTCAAGTATAGTCTGGTGGTAATTAAACCTGAAGTAAAGATTTGATAAAAGGTGACATTTATGTAGATTTGGCGTTTGCTTTATAGTAGCATTTAAGCTTTGAATGTTTCAGAATGAAAACAAAACCTATTCGATACTTCGGCGATATACGTTATACTGATTTGGAAAACCCACTTAAAAGGCCAATTTGCTGGAAAGTCATTCAAAACACGTATAAGAAACAAAGAAAGACAATTGACTGTTTACGAGCCAAATCAAGAAGACAAGCAAACAAAATTTGGTCTCTTCAAGCATTGACAAACCATTTGAAGCGAATAAATATGATATCGGAGAATGCTCAACACATGCTTGATGTAAGTGATTACATGTTTATTTTTTGATTGTTGTTAAAAATCCTCATTTCTCAGGGCTCCATTGCAGAAGACATTTTCAACAAAATTCAAAGAGGCCGAAAAAAAGAAAAACATAGTGCAGAACTGCGTCGTTTTGCGCTAACTTTACACTTTTATTCAAAAAAGGCGTACAACTATGTACGAACAAAAATGAATAAAATATTACCCCACACCAGTACCATAACTAAGTGGTATGCAACAGTTAATGGGTCTCCCGGATTTTTGACAGAGGCTTTACAAGCACTGAAAATAAAAATCACAGAAGGCAGAAACCAAGAAAAAGAGATCCTCTGCAATCTAGTTTTTGACGAAATGTGCATAATGAAGAAAGTAGAGTGGGATGGGAAGCGAACGTACGGATACGTGGACCTATGCATTGGTGATGCAGGTGACACTGGAGACACTGTCGAAGAGGCAAGAGAGGCGCTAGTGCTCATGCTAGTTGCACTGAATTGTTCTTGGAAGATACCAGTTGGCTATTTTCTCATTAATGGACTCACTGGCGCAGAAAAAGCCAATATTTTAGAGCACTGTTAGGATTCGTCCACTCATCAGGTGTCACAGTTACATCAATTACATTTGATGGAGCGCCCTCAAATGTTGCGATGTGCAAAATTTTAACGTGGAAGGCGACTTCAAATCTTACTTTTTGCACCCAATCACAAAAGACCCTGTCTTTATATTTTTTGATGCTTGCCATATGGTGAAATTGATAAGAAACTGCTTTGGGACATTCAAAATACTGACTGATGGAAATGAAGAAAAAATCCAATGGACCTTCTTAGAAAAGATAGCTAAGTTGCAAGAATATACTGGAATGCATGCGGCAACAAAGTTGAGGAAAAAACATCTCCAATGGGTGAATGAAAAGATGAAAGTTAAACTTGCCGTCCAGACTTTGAGCAAGAGTGTTGCAGAAGCATTGGACTTTTTGAACAAAGATCTGGCTTTGGCTGACTTCAAGGATTCAGAAGCTACAGCATATTTTTGTAGAACAGTAAACAATTTATTTGATGTGTTTAATTCAAGGAATAGGATGTCAAAAAAACCTTATGAGAAACCGTTGTCACCTGCTACTGAACAATATTTCAATTTCTTAGAAGAAGCGAAGGATTATTTGAAATCGTTAAAATTAGGAGACACTAGAGTTATACTTTCTAGAAGAAAATTAGGATTCATAATTTCAATAAGCAGTTTAAAGGGCCTGCATGAATATAAGGTCAAAGAAACCAAAGAGCTGAAGTACCTTCTCACATATAAGTTATCTCAAGATCATTTGGAAATTTTCTGCAGTTGTATAAGAAGCAAAGGAGGATACAGCAATAATCCTACCTCGAAGCAGTTTCAGAATATTTTAAAAAAATTATTACTTCATACTGAAATAAGTGGCAATGAAGCATCCAATGTCGTGGTATTAGATAGCACATCCATTTTGCACTGTTCATCATCATCTTTAGAGATCAAAATTAGTGAGGATATGACCTCATCATCAAACAGTATAGAGGAAGATGAAGATTTTATACAATTTAAAAACTGTCTTCTAATAAGTCCTTAGCAGCTTACACTGTATCTGGAAGATGTTGTTGCATATGTTGCAGGTTTTGTTGTGAAGAGGCTAAAAAAGTCTATAAAATGCCAGAGTTGTTTAGATTTGTTAGAAACTTCAGGAGAGTCTATATCGAAATTACAAATAAGAAAAACGTATGGAAAATTAGTTAAAGCCTCCGCTTTTGTAATAAATGTGTGTAAATATGGAGAACATTGCTTTAGGTTATATAAGGAAAGGTTAGGAGTTGGCAAAAAAAAATATGACAAGAGTTTTACAAATATTAATAAATTATACATTGCAAAATTTACCTCTTGGATTCGGAAATGTGTTTAAGGACCATGTATTCGAAGATGAACCTTTAAGTAATCATTTTCCATTGCTCTGTAAACAAGTTTTAGAACAATATTTTACCATTAAGTTGTACCATTATACCTCTAACTTGAATGCCCCTTCAAAACGTGTACGATCATTACTCACAAAAAGTATATTATTTCAAAATCAGTAAAACCTGATAATTACAAAAAAATAAAAAGCAAAATTATAAAATGAATTATAAATAATGACTTAGGAAGAGTGACAAGTCCAAAGGAATTGTTTTACTGAAATATGCACTAAACCAAATAAAATAAACCTCCAAACATGGATTGACTACTATAAAATAATGTATAATCCTACCCCCAATGTTGACTTTAGCTTTTTAGATGTTTTACATCCATATCTGGATCAGCATATATCAATACAAGAACTTTTTGCCGCGCTAAATGGCTAAAATGGCTATCAGAGTCTACAGAGTACGCTAAATCCCCAAGTATACCGTTATGTATAAAACGATTTATAATCCAACTTAAGCTCCACAATAAATGTAGTCTCAAAATCTTCCTAAACAATATTTCTTACAGGGTTGACCAAACAGACTATTGTACAATATGTAATACTCGAAAGACCGAATCTTTAGGACATCTCCTCCTGGAATGTCCATTATACAATCCATTGAGAGAGCATATTCTGTCAGATCGTTTGAACCAAATCTGTGTTGAATTTATGATACAAACTTTTTAAATACTTTAGGGAACTATTTAAGCTTAAGGAATGAATAGTTTTTTTGTGCCTTCAATATCAAGACAGAATATTCAAATTGATGCGTCAATTATTTATTCTTTTTCTGTTTGTTTATATATTTTTTTATATACAACTTTTTATCATGGTTACTATCATTTTCTTACTATTTTTTGTTTTATTCATACTCTGGACAGGAAATTTTCTACTCAATTCTTATTATTTACATAATACTCTCTTGTTTATATACCTTTGTACTAGGTATTATGAAACAATAAACCTGATAATTAAGTTCCAATAATAAAACATTGTTTACTTCTCTGTGTTTATTCTTTTCACTGCCATGGACGGTGATACTGGGTGTATTAACCAGAACACCATTACAAAAAAAGCACCTACGCCACTGGTGGTATCAGCTGTGGTCTGCGCATACACAGCTTATTGTTTGTATTTGTTTTGAATTGGGTTTGTTTGTCTTCATGCATTACAGTGCCGTAAAAATGGTAAGTCTATTTATATTTTTAGTCTGAGGGAAAAACCATTTTTTAAACCACCATCAATGAGTAAGCATCAAACTAAAGTTGGAAACATTCATCTGAAAATCACATACAAATTAAGCCATTTTCTTACCACTCTTCGACACAGTTCAAGCAAAAGCTGTGGGCACAAGGCAATGTTGTTTCCTGTTTCCTTTCAAAGCAAATACAGCAGACATTTCCTCCTGAATCAAACTGTGATTCTTCCAAAATGGTCGATACAGAAATATCAGGTTTTGATGCACTAAAACCCAAATTTCAAATTAGTCTAATATCTATTTTACTGTCATATAGGGCACTCAAAATGATGTCTATGATTTTTTTTATAAATAAAATGTATTATTTACAAAATTAATCACAACTAACATTTGATATCTTTGGAGAGTATTATGCTTATACCTATACTAAAATGCTTAATGACTTGAGTACCCTGAACTAATCTGAGTAACCTCACACGAGTTATAAGATCGATGCTTCGAGATCGCTTTTTAAAAAGTTTATTTTTCGAAAATACAAAACTCAAAACTGTACTTTTACAAAATTATTACAATGTTATTATGATGTAAACAGTACAAAGGCTTAAATCTGACTGACTGTAAAATGTGTTGAGAACAATAAAGTAAACTCTAGGTCTCCTAGGAAATTAGTAGCATCGTCGGCAGTATTCCTATCATATCAGCAGGAATAGCTGATATAACTCCTCCCCCCTGAGATTCAACTTCGGGGAAGAATTCTTCAAGGAAGTTGAATAGGATGAAGTTCGACTTCTGGTTGTTGAATACTTCTATTTCTGAGCTTCCTCCTCTTCAAAATGGTTTTCCAGAATGCGTAGACACCCAAGAGTAATATACATCCATATATTATCAGTGTCCAGGCACTGGGTATAAAAAATTCTGTAGGTTTTTTGAAGTTGGGTTTGTTGTTGATAATGCTTGACTTGATTTTACTTAACTCGTCTAGCTTAATTTTTTCTAGATGCAGACTGAAATTTGTTTCTGTGATGTCGCCTTTAGTGTCCAGGTTTAAATCCGGGAATATTATAGGTTGGCCCGCGACAATCGTTTCGGGTTCATTTTTGATGATTTGGTGATTAATTTCGGCTTGACAGTTGACAGGAATATAAAGTAGGTAAGTTCCCGTCAATCTTTTCATTTGCATTTCTTCGTGGCATTCCATTTTGATAACTTCTGGTAGTGACAGGATCAATACCCATTGATTAGTCCGTTGGATTCGTTCGATACTTGGCTGATTGATTATCAGTGGAGTTCGGGCACATGCAGGGGCGTTTCTTCCATTGAATAGTTCAAGTTCACAGGGTAATGGACCATTAATGTCTCGCAAGATGGTCTTCTCGCAGAGAAACTTTTTAGGAGCAATTTCAGTACAAATGTCGCCGAAAAGTGCAAAGTGCAATTCATTTTCCACCAAATAAGGCTCCTTTGGAATGATAGTCTTAAATTGACCTTCAAAATATATCGGGATTGGAAAGAGACGATATAAGTTAAATGACTCATAGTATGAGATTGGGAATGATAAAACGAATGTAATTTTGTTGCCCACAGAATAACTGGAGATTTTGATTATTTTTTCAAAAGTTGGTATGTTATCTAGTAAAACTGGAATCGCAAATTTTTCCTGGCCTAATCTTGAGCTCAATAGTTTCAGTTCACCAAAAATTTCTTCGGTTGTAATAATGCTAGAGTGAGTTGTTCCAAGACGTGCAAAAATTATTGAATTTTCAACGTCTTGTAATATCGACAGAGTTACTTCGTAGCTGTTCATAATTTGAGATACTGTGTCTACTATGAATTTATGCTGATCTGAATCGATTGTAGTACGATGAACAATTGCATATATGGTATTAATTTTATTATTCAGCAATTGTTCATTATGACAGATTTGCTGAACAGTTTTATTGAACTTATCAATAAGAGATACTGACAGTGCATTATTCTGTGTGACACTGTTAGTCAATTCTCTTTGATTATTTTGAAGCTCTCGAATTAGATTTTCGAAACGTTCGCCATCATTGCGTCAAGGTTTCCAGTTATTGATTTGAATATCGACCCAATGCCATTTAATATGCCTCTTTTTCCTCGCTTTGTATGGGGAAATATATTATGTAACTTGTTCTACCTGTCGCTGAACAAATTTTAATGTTCTGAAATAATTGGACAAATATGTAGTGACATTTAAATTTGAAGAAATGATTTCTGCTATACGTGAGGAGGAAATTGATAATTTTTCAATTTCAGAAATGATGGGATTCATATCATAAGAATGAATGAGTGAAAAGTCATAGTCTTTTACTTTTGCTTCACCAATTTCCACGGGAAGTAGTCCTGGATTGTTGTCGAGGTTACGTATAGTTATGCTATCCTGAAGTCCAACCGTTACTTGCAGGAATCTGCAAATGAATAATACCTACATGTATGTATGTCGTACTTGGAGAGAAACATTTAGTTGCTAAATGAATATGGTTTGCGAAGGGGACGCTTCAAATTATCGATATGTACTTTATTGTGTTTATCAGTAGTAGCGGTCTTTTTACCAGGATCGACTGATGTTAGTGTACATGATTTTTGGAATTTATTTGCATTTTTCTGACGTATATTTTTCTTAACGAATGCTTTCTGACCTGGTTGAAATATTTTTGCACTATCTCGAGCTATGTTTGCCTTTTCAATTACTTTTTCTTTATTTTGAACAAGCACCTCGTTGATTTTGGTATATAATAGCTTACTGCGTGCTTTGTGTTGTTCTACATAATCATTCAACAAAATTTGGTCTAAGCTGATGTCAAATGTATCTTTTTCACTGAGATGACCATTTATGACATCGATGGGTTTTAATTTAGTCACAGAATGAACAGAGTTGTTGTATGCTAAGATTGCGTATATCATTTTCGTTTGGACAGATGTTTTTTGAAAGCCTTGAGTGTTTAAAATTCGGAGTTGCTCAGATATTGTCGAATGAAATCTTTCGACTACGCCATTTGACTGGGGATGGTTCGGGGAACAGAAATGTATTTCGATTCCACGTAAACCTAATAACTCGGATATGACTGAGTTTTTAAACTCGGTGCCATTGTCAGTAATAACTTGTGTCGGGATTCCATGATGGGAAAAGTATCGGATAAGGTTGTCAGCTACTTCGGTACCTGTCATTGAATTGAGATGGTAAGCTTGAGCGTACTTTGAAAAACTATCGATAATGGTCAAAAATTTAGATTTTTCAAATGTGTATGTGTCCATGTGAATTATTTCAAATGGCTTCACAGCAGTGGGAGTGATATTCATTTGCGCTTTAACAGGGTGTCTCTCGTATTTGGCTTGTTGACAGATTTCGCAGTCATTTATGTATGACTGAACGGAACTTTTCAAATTTGGCCAATAGTACTTTTGTTTTAAGCGAGAATAGGTTTCATCGATCCCGCGATGATTTGATTTCCCTTCATGATAATTTTGTATTAAACTTTTAATTTCATCATTACTAGTGATGTCTAGAAGTTTTTCAAGACACCTTTTAAACTTGATAGAGGGCCATTTAAAATACTTTTGTAAAGCGCCTGAGAAGGGTTCGTATATGTCAGGATCTTCGAAATATATATATTATGGGACATCGGGTACAATATATTCCTTGACAAAATTTACAACATCTGATTCAAGGTTGTTCTTTGAAATTTGCACTAATAGCCGCTGTTTTCTCTCGAATAAAATTATGATTTTCGGCTTGGCGGGAGAGTGCAGGACCGTTTTAATTACGATCTGATTTTGGCCAAAGTTCAATGGTTGGTCTGATATAGGAATTGTAACAACCGGGTGTTGATTATTAGAGTGCCGGGTTTCATCATCCTTGTCAAGTTCGTCTTCATTAGTATTGGTTTTGTCAATAACAAAAGGAAGTTCGTGGTAGTCAGTTTGTTCTGTTTCATTGATTATATCTTTGTCAGTATTTGTATTGTCAACGGTAGGAAGTTCCTGACAGTCAGGTTGATCTGTTTCATTGTCCAAGTTGACAATCATTGAGATATCGTCTAGTTCAGGGTTTAAATTGGGGTAGCTAATATCTTGAATTATCAGTGGTGAATTTGGATTAGCTTGTGTCGTGGGAGGTGTGTTTAAATTTTGATCTACAAAGGTAATTCTTTGATTCTGATAGTTGGAGGCTTCTCCAAGGAAGTCATCGAGTTGTTCCCAAAAATCGTTAGTTTCCTTAGTATGAATTTCGATTCTAGAAAGAGCGTCAGCATTTGTATTGAGTTTGCCTTTTTTATAGATGATTTTGAAATTATATTCGTCAAGTTTCATTTTCCATCTCATTCATTTTGAGGAGACGCCTTCCTTTAATGAATAAAGGTACTGGAGGGGTTTATGATCTGTTATAATATTGAAGGTCTGCCCATATCGTTTATATTGGGAAGTGGATATTTGTCATCAAGAGTCTTATCGTTAAGATTACGATAGTCTATTACGACGCGCCATTTCTGTTTGCCAGAGGCATCCATCTTCTTAGCCACAACCCAAATGGGCGAGCAATATGGCGAATTACTTTGCCTAATAATGTTCGATTTCAACATTTTTTGAATTTGGTCATTTACTTCTTGTCGGTTAACAAAGGGGTACCGGTAGGTCTTGGAATAAATTGGGATCTCATCAGTAGTTCAAATCTGATGTTTTATCTTGTTTGTGAAAGTTAGTGGTTCGCCTTCACGATAAAATATATCCGAAAATTCTTTTCAAAGTTTGAGGATTGCGGACTGTTCTTCTGAATTTAGGTGGTCTACTCTAATTTTGGAATAGTCTAGTTTATTGGCTGGAGAATCGTTGATATTATTAAGATCAAATTCTCGACATATCGTCGGATGTATAGACTGGTAAAATGGTTCAACAGAAAGGGGTTCAGAAAAGTCGAGTGTAACGGTTCTGTCGTATTGTTCAGTAAGGTCGTCAAAGCATAACTATCTTTCGCAATAGTCAAGCATTCCGGTATTTCACAATTATGGATTTTTTGGTGGGGTATAATAATTTCGCCATCGCTTATGGATGTTTTAACTTTTATGACAAGCTCAGTGCGAGGTTCGATGGAAACAAAATTCAAATTATTCTTAGGTTTTTGATAAAGCAACTTGATGTTTGCATACAGTGTCACAAGAAACCCTTCTTGAAATAAGAGTCTTGCCTGTAATTCTTCTAAGTTATCCATACCGATCAAACCATTGAAAAAATCATGAAACTTGAACAAGTAAAATTTTAATTCCTTTAGATGAGGCAAATTGAAAATTTTGGATGCTGGTATTAAAGTACTGAATTTATGGGCGGATTTCTGAAATACAGACGAAACAATGAATGTTTCATTTTTGATTTGTTGTGGAAAATATTTGAATGCGATGTCTGGATCTATAAATGACCTAGTAGACCCGCAGTCAATCAAAAGTTTTATGTCATATTCGGGAAAAACTATATAGCCCAATCCTTTTGTGTTGCTAGCATTGAACGATATAATTTCACTGTTTATGTCGGTTGAATAACCTGGCTGGCTGGGGGAAAATTTTCATTTCCTGACGTCGAGGTTGGGTTGGGCATGTCAAGTTCATTATTTTGATCGGTATTGTAATGATCGTATTGACAAATATTTTGGTTGGGGTCATCATAGAATTCATCATTATTTTCGACGTTAGTAGCAAAATTGCCTATATCATAAGTTTCATATGTTGCGTTATCATTTAACTCGGTGTTATACAGTTCCTCAAAGATAAAATTTTGCTGAGGTCGAGGTGTGTTCGCCGGAATTGGAGCAAATGGTGGACGTGTTGTGTTTCTTGTGCTAACACTCATCGGTGTCGGCCTGGGAAGATTTCTTGGATTTGAAGAATTGGGCTTAAAAACGTTTGTATTCGGATTCTTTGTTTGTTGGTTGCCAAAGACTTCAGCGTTAGTCGGGAAACGCTGATTTTAGTTTGGCCTAGGTTGAATTTGAATGGGTTGAGATGGGAATTGCGCACGGAAAAAGCTATTAGGCGTACGAGAATTAAAATTTTGATAAGGCATATTAACTGGGCGTGCAGGTCTGAACTGCGAATTTTGAAAATTTGTAAAATTCTGTGAATCTGTCTTAACTCTATATGAAACGTTTTGGAAATAATGCACATTTTGTTCTTCAAGCACTAATTGAAGAGCTTCGCTCAAGGAGGTTGGTTTCATGCACCTGACAGTGGTGCCCAATGGTTCTTTCAAGCCTGAAAGGAAAGTCTTTAACGCAAGTTTTTGATACAAATCGCGTTTTATTGCTTTACCACTTTCGGTAGCTTCGTGGATATTAACGTATCTACACAGATTGTTTAAAATATGCAAACATCTTTCGTGAAATTTTTGAGGGCTCTCATTTTGATATTGCTTTAGTAAGCAAAGGTCTCTATGTAAGCACACTTCATCACGTTGGTCAGAAAAACTAGTAACTAATAAAGTTTCGAGTTCACTCCAGGTGTTCACTGAATGAATGTTTATTAAAGATTTGGCATGTCCTCTCAGCTTTGAAAGAATGGAGTTCAATAAAAATGTATTTTGAAAATTGTTTGGATTGGAATGATCATAAAAATTGTCAATCAAGGATTTGCTTACACGCAAAAATCGATTGAGATCGTTACTGTTGCCGTCAAATTCGGGCACACAACTTAAGTATTCGGGCCTAAAAGTAGCCATAGTTGTAGAAATACTTGTAGGTATTGAATGTACAAGGACTTGTGAAAGTATGGGCTCACGTAGTATATTAGAGTACCGTCGAGTATTTGGAGAGTCAGTATTAAGGTCCAAATTCCCAAGGGCTTGCGATATATCAATACTCATTGAAATTTGAAGCGATAAATGGAAAAAAATAAACTGCACTTACAACACTAAGAAAGCGATCTTTAGCATCTCTTACTCCTATAAAGATCCTAGCTGGTTCTACAATGTTGTCTTCCCCAGGCTGGAATCCTTGCGAACTTGGGCAATGTGGTCCCAAATTCCAATGCCCTTCGTATGTAGCTGTTCACGCCGGTTCCTCGATGGATTGGGTATCCAAAAATATGAATCCACTCCAGTGCTCACTGCCACTACACGAATGCCACCAAGTCCAAAAAGGCCGGATAGAGTCCCGAAAAGTCCCGTCGCGACGGTTTGCGAAAGTCTTTCCCGGGTCGCGTATTTCTGATCCTACTGGATTGACTGTGCCAGCTATAAGATCGATGCTTCGAGATCGCTTTTTAAAAAGTTTATTTTTCGAAAATACAAAACTCAAAACTGTACTTTTACAAAATTATTACAATGTTATTATGATGTAAACAGTACAAAGGCTTAAATCTGACTGACTGTAAAATGTGTTGAGAACAATAAAGTAAACTCTAGGTCTTCTAGGAAATTAGTAGCATCGTCGGCAGTATTCCTATCATATCAGCAGGAACGGCTGATATAACTCACGATAAAAAAAAACTGAAGAGAATAATGATATGATGACAACACCTAGTGCAGCTAATATGTGACAGTACCTTTCACTTTGTTCTACAGCTAGTATTTGGCATTTTACAGTCTTGAATACCTTCAAAAATTCAGCAAGTGTAAGTAATCTGAAAGTGGCAACTTTTTGAGTGGTAGGATCAATCTTCACACATGCAATTTGAACTGTCGTCTTCCAAAATATTGTGGAGTCTGTGTCTTTCTTCACAGCAAAAACTAGTTGATTGCCTTCTGTATCCAAGCATTTCTTTGATCTACAAAATGCAGATAAATAACTCTCTGAATACTAAACATTCTAATTATTATACTCACAGTAAATTAAGTTCTCCAAGCAAATTAAGAAAATCTTCATAAGTCAGTTTGCTTATCTCATGAGAAAGGAGAGTATTGAAGGGTTCCTCATTAACAATTTGAGAAAATACTTCCTGAAATTGAGACGTACCTGAACCCATATTTCTTTAACCAATTACTACTGATATTCAGTTATTAAGTATTTATTGGCCATAATAACAGTAATCAACTACTGTAAATTGAATACGCGTTTTGTTTACTTTTGTTCAATTTTTTTAAAATCACCTGTCAAATCATGAAGAAAAAAGGTTATGTCACAAAACACAGATTACAGAAAGAACGACTACTCAGAGCAATAGACAGCCTAAGTCTGACGTCAGAGCGACGGGCGGAGCTTAGATTGGCTCCCTCCAAACAAATTCAGTTATAACCGTGAATTCCCATAAGGATTTTTCTTTTAGTATTTTTTGTCATTTTCCAGGAGAAAATAAGAGCTTTAACTACAATATTTGACTTTAAAAACGTGCCTTTGACTAGATTTGTATTAACCTATTTTTCAAGTAAGTAATATTAGGACAGTAATAATGTTTTAAAACTTTTTAAGGTTATGTCGTTGTTTATATGTTGTTTAAATTTTTACGAAATAACTGAGTTCCTGGTTTTAATTATATGTATTTTAAGATGTCCACGGATTCATTATAATGGGAATGTGCTTTGTGCCTGACTGCAAGCACTACAGTGAAAAACAAACGTGCAGGTTTTTTCGGTTTCCTTTAAACAAGACAGAAAGGAATAGATGGATTTCTCTTATAAGGTAAAGGGATTATACATTAGTTTTTATAGATACATTTGTAATTCTTTTTATTTACAGGAGAAAAGATAGAGGCCCTAGTCACTTCTCCAAAGTTTGTGATTGCCATTTTATAGATCAGGATAAGAAAAATGAACCAACATTATTTGATTTTAATATTAACCCTGCATCACTCGCGCTATGAGCATTTCGCTCATTGTTTATGAAAAACAACGATCATTTGGCATCGTCGCGGGGGACGCGCCAATCCCCACTTCTAGCTTACTTATAACTGTATGGTTTATCTGAAGTCACTTGAAATAGCATAAAAACCTTTGGTCTTTTGTAATTTCATGACGTATCATAGGCGTGCGGTTAATTATTTAGAACGATAATAATAATGTTTTTAACATATATCACAATAAATGGATTTTACTATCTTCTTATTTTTTTGATTTGGGATAAAAAATACTTATTTTGGGAGTTTAATTTATGTTGACTGAAAGTTAAGAAATGGAAAAATTACAGAATTCCAACGTTTGACATAGGCAAATATTTACATAGCAGGTAGGTATATAAAGACTTACATTATAGGTATTTATATATCATCCTCGCCTTCGGAGCTGTCGCTAGAGTCATCTTGTAGAGGAATTACAACGGGATTTACAGGAGGCAAAACACAATATTCATTTTCTTTTTGAATAATATGCCTAGAACACTGCTTCCATAGGTCTGTGACAGCAATATGAGATACTGCATCTCTTATTGTGGCCAATAGCGATTCACTTAATTGAGGGGTCTGATTATGTTTTCTTACTTTTTTTTTTAAAGCAGCCCAGACCAACTCAATCGGGTTAAAAATGCAGTAATAGGGAGGTAGACGTAATACTTCATGGCCATTTTGCTGAAGCAGATTGTCAACAACATACTCTTTTTCAAATTTTTGTCTTTTAATAAGATCCAATAATATGGCTTTGGTTGATTTTTGTGGTATTTCCATTCCCTTATCCTTCATAAAATCAATAATGTCTTGTTTTTTTGTGCCTGTATTCGGAATTTTGTTTTTCTGTCGGGAATGGTATGGCGCATTGTCCATAATAATTACTGAATTTGGGGAAATGTTTGGTATTAACTGCTGCTCTATCCACTTTTCAAATAAGTCGGAGGTCATGTCCACATGATAGTCGGCACATGATTCTCTGATAGTTTTGGCAGATAACAGCAAGGCATTAGGTATAAATCCATTTTCAATGCCAGCATGGAGAATAATGATTCGTTTTCCACGGTTGCATGGTGCATTTAAAATGCACTTGTTGTTGTCGTCAACCCAGCCGTACTGCTCAACATCATGGGTATCATACCACGTTTCATCCAGGTAAATCAGATTTCTTTTCTGCTCTCTATAGATTTTAACTTTGTGCAAAAATTCTTGGCGCAATTCAACGATTCGAGACGACTCCATAATCACCATTCTTTTATCTAATTTTTTGTATTGAAAACCACACAGTTTTACAATACAGTGCAGTGAGTCTAAGCATTTGTAATTATAAAAATCTTCAGGATAATCTTTTAATTTATCCCGTATCATTTCCAACGTGGGCACCAAATTTTCTTTATAAAATCCGTATATTATACGACGAATATCTTCCTGAAAACCCACGTCTATTCTTTTTAATTTTTGCCCTATGCGCTTTCTGTGGAAGGAATGGTTGACTACATCTCCCCTTTTTATAACCCGATAAATGGTAGACCGACTGATTTTTGTCAGGATACAAATTCTGTTTAAAATTTGATTTTGCGAGGAATCTGGATTTTCGTTTTTCAGACAATCATACATTATTTAATATTACTCTTTGGGTCTGTTCCTCTAAATCTTTATGAAAGAATTCTGCCTGCACAGGTTCATCAACCATCTCCTCGTGGCTTGGAGCATTTTCCCAAGGTCTCCAAAGAGCCATATTTAGGACACACAAGAACAATCAACACAACAATTAAATCAACAAGTAAACTGAGTATTCAAAAGTCAAAAACACACAAACTAATAAAATCTATGAAAAAACACGGACAGACTAAAGAAAACACGTATATTCACCGCTACACGGCACTGGCTTTACTGTTTCAATTTTCAGTAGCCACCTGCACTTGTGCAGAGCTCTGAAATACACGCTTTCTCATTGGCTATGTCCACGCATAGGCGTGCTTTACTCCACGTGGACCGGTGAAACTGCCTTTGATCTTATATATATATAAATATTTGCTGCGAAATTTGGCGATATTTGCAGCAACAGAGCGTGTTAAATATAGATATATAAAACGCACCCGGTATTTCACAGTGTTTCAAGTGACTTCAGATAAAGTATACTCTTGAAGATGTGGTGACGTGGAATTTAATTAGTTCGCTGTGTCAAGTGTTACGGGACGTTTGTTGACTGATTGCAAGCGAGGTGAGACTTTTGCTCATTACGCGAGTGATCGTGTACCATTTTTTGATCTGGAGAGAGCATTTTGCTCATAGCGCGAGTGTCACTATTACGATTGTTCCTGTATGTTTGATGAGGCGATAATTTTTATAAGATTCAACAGGACAATTTTAACGATATATTGTTGTTTCAGAGTAATAGAAATGTACAGCAGAAGCAAAGAAATTGCCGATCTAGGCCGAGAAATATACGATAGTGCTTGTATGCAGGAAATGTTGGAGAGTGTTAGTTGGACTGTCGCCACAGAGCCAGTGGAAGAAACTATTTTGGACAATAATCAGATGGATATTGAGAGTGACGATTCAAGTGAGTTCAGTGAACACAATACCAACTCAGAGCTGTCCGAAGAAGAAAGTGTTAGCGATGATAAACACAAAAAAATCAATTTCACTGGTCAACATTGCTTCGTGGGTAAAGATAAAGCCACCCAATGGCTGGCTCATGCATCCTCACGACCGAAAACAAGAACTTTACTTAAAAATGTTGTCATTCATCCCCCAGGCGTAATGAGAGTGGCACAACATGCAAAGACTGAAAGGGATTGTTGGGAGTTGTTTATGACACCAGCGATGATAGAATATATTGTCAGATGTACAAACATCTACCTGAATAATCTGCGCAAAAACTATGACCGTGAACAGATGCCACAGAACTAAATGCCTTTTTTGGACTTATATACATGGCCGGGGTGAAGAAAAACCAATATTTATCCACAAAAGAGTTATGGGATACCGATGGATCAGCTGCTGATTGCTTCCGCCTCACAATGTCAAGAGAAAGATTCCACCTTCTAGTGAGAGCCATCAGATTTGACGACATAAACAATCGAGAAGAAAGAAAGTCCGTTGACAACATCACCCATATTCGGCAGCTTTTTGACGTGTTTGTTGGAAAATGCCAAGAAAATTACCAAATTGGGGAATATTGCACGGTAGACGAAATGCTGGAAAATTTCAGAGGAAGATGCAAATTCAAGCAATATATTGCCAGCAAGCCAGCGAAATATGGAGTGAAAATATACGCACTGGTTGATGCAAGAATATTCTACCTTTACAATATGGAAATCTATCCAGGAAAACAACCAAATGGACCATACACGCTAGATGATTCTGCTTTTGCTGTAGTCAAGCGTATTGCATCTCCGATTCTAAACACTGGTAGGAATATCACAATAGATATTTTTTTACATCAATACCTTTGGCTGAATATATGCTTGATAAAAGAACTACTATAGTGGGAACACTTAGAAAGAATAAAAGAGACATTCCACCAGTATTCTTAGAAACGAAGCAGAGACCAGCTCCTAGTACCATGTTTGCATACCGCAAAGATACTGTCTTGGTCTACTACAAACCAAAACCCAACAAAAATGTTCTTTTATTGTCTACGTTCCATTCAGATGCTCATCTTGATCCTGAATCTGGCGTTTTGCAGAAGCCGGAAATAGTGACTTTCTATAACTGTACGAAGGGTGGAGTTGACTTAGTTGATGAGCTGAAGTCCAATTACTCAGTGTCCAGGTTCTGTTGCCGATGGCCATTACGAGTATTTTTTACAATGCTGGATGTAGCAGGTATTAATTCCCATATTATCTACAAAAGTAGTACATCCAAAATCCTGGCGCGCAGAATTTATTTGAAGAACTTAGCGCTGCAACTGATCAAACCACAGATGATTACTCGTTCATCGATTCGAACTTTACCACTGGATATTCGAATCCGAATCAGACAAATTTTGAGAATAGAAGGACAAAAAAGCAATGTTGCAAGTGCAATATCCCCAGATGCAACGACCATGTCACATTTATTTGTTCTACATGCTCCAATTCGATAAACAACTTGCATTGGGCAAGTGAATAATTCCTTTATTTTACTAAGCACACTGTTTTAGTTCTAATTATATTATGACACAATATTATTATTTATATAATATAAATTTTGAGTTGTCATTAAATAAATCTAACAGTTTATGTGCATTATTGGGAGAATTTGCATGTAAAAATGCCTTTAATATATCTTAACCAAATTGTAAACTGTACGTGAGCAAAATGCTCACGCGCGAGTGATGGTGTAACTTTTACATGCGCGAGTGATGCAGGGTTAAAAAGAGATTCAACATAACAACCCCAGAAAAAAGGTGTGCATACTGCATAAAAATCATGATCATAATATGAGCTTTTTTTTAGAAAGCGGTCCGTAAAGCAACAGGAGAATCAGTCATCATTTGCTGACTCACTACCAGGCCTTTCTACACAGCATTGCTGCACTCAAGGCGAGCTGGCAAGTGAACCATCAAAACCCTTTAACAATCCAGAACAAACAGTGACTGGATTAAAACTTGATAGTTTACTTCTCAGCCCATCATCTGCTTCTCAAGATGCTGAGATTTATTTTTTGAAACAACAAGTTAATGAATTAACTGAAAAATTAGAGGAGTTAACAACACGGTTTAGTTACGAAGCGATAAAAAAAAATGATGCTCATATATTAATGTACACTGGTATACCAGCAAATGAATTGTTCATTGTACGTTTTGAGCAAATGAATGACATACAAATAAAATATTACGCTGGCTGGAATGTTCAACGTATCCCCAAAGTTGATCAGCTTCTGATGACACTGATGAAATTACGACTGAATTTGCCCCATGAAGATCTGAGTATTAGATTTAATTGCAGCACAGCTTCTGTTACCACTATTATTATGACTTGAATTTACGCTTTGCATGAAGTGCTATTTGAAGATTTGATGAAGACAATACCATCCAGACAAAGAAACCAACCCTGCCTTCCTGCTGCATTTACTAATTTTAAAAATTGTAGAATTATATTAGACTACAGAAATTTATTCCACAGTTCCAGCAAGCATGGAAAATGAGAGGTTGACATTCAGTTCTTATAAACACAAAAATACATGGAAAGTTTTGGTAGGAGTGGCACCAAATGGGGTAATAACATTTGTCAGCAAAGCTTATCTAGGGTCGATATCTGACAAGAAGATTGTTGAACAGAGCAATGTTTTAAATCAAATGGTTCCTGGAGATATGATTCTAGCAGACAAAGGTTTTTTAATTAAAGACCTTCTTCCTGCTGGGGTGTCGCTCAATATTCCACCCTTTTTAAGTACACCCCAGTTCACAGAGTCGCAGGTATATGAAACACAACAAATTGCAAAAGCCAGAATTCATGTAGAAAGAGCCATCAGAAGAATAAAATGTTATATTTTGCAGCAGGTTCCACCTTATTATATATCCCAAATTTCAGTTATTTTTCATCTGTGTGCAGCTTTAACAAACTTTCAATATCCGCTAATTAAAGAAGTTGAAGAATATTATTAAACTGTTATAGTAGAAGAACATTTGGTTTTATTTTTAGTTTATATAGAGTTTTTCTATGAACAGTTAGGACTTTTGTGCGATAACATTTCAATCTGCGAAAACTGTCTCACTATTAAAGTTTATAGTTTGGATAAAAAAACATTGGTTAGTCATTAAGTGATTAGAATTTATTTTTCGACTCAAATTAATACCTTTATTAGCAAAAGTAATAACAGATTCAAATGTTATCAGGTAAAAATGATCACACTGTAGTTAATTCATTTAGTAACTTCTATTGTATAATTATATTTTATTTAAAAGTGTAGCAGGAGCACCAAACTCTTGACTGCTTCCTTTGAGTTTTGTGCTTCCACTGTTGATTACATATACATCAGTAAATAAAAGTCATATTTATTCAGAACATATTTATTTAATTTCTTAACAATTTTGATAAATAATGTTCTATGTAGAAATTTTCTAAAAGAAAAATATTTTCCTTCCATAACTCATCATAATCCACATTTGCAACATTTCCGCCATTTAATGTCCAAATACAGAGGTAACATTTTTTCTTTTTTAAAATATGCAGAATACCTTGAATTTGATGATAATAATTGTGACTTTTATTTAGTAACAAATTTCTTTCAACATCATAATAAATAATGTAATTTGTTAGGTTACATAGTTTGTCTGTTATAATTATCATTTCTAAAGGAATATGGACATTTCACTTCCACAATGGCATCTTCTTCATCAATTAAACCATCAGGACTAGCTCCAAGGAGTCCTGAATTTGTAAGCAATACTCCTGTTGATTGAATATTTAAATTATAATGTTTCAAATAATCTAATGCATCTTTTTCATGAGTTCTGCCCATTGGATTGCTTTAATGCCATCCAGATTATTCAGGGTGACTTTGAAGTTGAGTCATTAATTTTCAGATAATGATTGTAGAAGGAAGATAAACCAAAATATGTGTGTAAAAATAAAAAAAAAATGTTACCTTGTTTTATAAAGTATCCTCCCGACAAGTATTTCAGTGCGGACCTGTATTTGATCGTGCGGTCTTGGAGCACCGGCATGCCCTCCCCTGTGAGGTCTTAAATCACCTGATTCACGAGCACTTTGTACTACATTAACGAGGGACGAGGGGTTGGTTGCACTCGATTGGGAAACCGATCCGCATAAATCCGTGATGCCGCGTAAATAAGAATCATGTCCACAAGTTCAGCATTTTCGTAAACATGTGCCATTTTTGATTTCGTTTGAGCCACGCAACAGACACCACTATTCACTCACGCGTTACCGACTAACACTGACGGAATACAACTGAATAAAATAATTGTAAAAACATCGTTCCAAATTCTTTCGCTTTTTTGTTTCCGATGCGATGAAAGGATAAGACGGATTATATCCGTTGTTGCCAAACACAAGCACATAATATTATTATTGAGACAGGGCGGTACTCAAACTTCCAAAGGGCTATAACTTTGTTACTTTAATTTTACCAGAAAAATGGTAAAGGAAAAAACATTTCTTTTGATCAGATCTACTCACTGTTAAAATAAATGACTCAACTTCGAAGTCACCCTGCATTAACCTGGAAAAAGAATTGATTTGATGGGTTGTGGTGACAATATATAAAATAAAAGAAATATTACAAAATGAACAATAATTCAGTATTGGGAAAAAATGCAAACTCTACAGGGAAGAAATTGAGATGGAAAGAAATTATGCAGTCAACTTCTTTCATGAAACAGTAAGAATCAATTAGCTCTCTGTCTTTCTTATTATCTCATTACTGCTTATCGAACTTTTATTGACTGTGCATAAAAAATAACTATCAAAGCAATACGTAAAAGTAAAGGATTTGTGTTGAAATTACATCCATATAACGTAGAGTTGGAAAAGTGTGGTCATATTCAATCGGCAAGATGTAATTGTCCAAAAGGAATAAAATGTCATCACATTGCAACTTTGGCACTTTTTGGGCATTACAATATCTCAGTAACAGATAAAGCTTGTTTATGGAATGCCCCAGCTAAACCTAAGTCTGAGTCGGTACAATCTGCTGAAGAACTTTATCCGCCAAAGCCATATAAAGCTCTTGAACATCAATTACCAGAAAAATCAATTGAAAGATTGAGGGAGAAGCTAGGTAGCTTTGGAAATACTGTGGGATTTACTTGGTTGTTGAACACGGAATCTGAAAATCCTTCGAATAATTTCCCTATGATTGAAGCAATTATTTCTTCCAAGGAGTTTTTGGAAGCCACAGATAAAGTCCATATCTTCAAAGAAAAATGTGCCATGGATGATAACTCAATACTTGACATTGCTGCTGCCACTACTGGTCAAGCTTCAAATGAAAGGTGGTATCTTGCCAGAAAAATTTCGTTTGACTGCAAGTAGTTTTGGATTGATAATTTCTGCATGCGTAAAAAAGAGGTTCCCAGATAGTTTGTTCAAAACGCTTTTAGGTGAGTGAGTACTATATTGTTTTAAATTTTCGTCATATATGGATGTAATGTCAACACAAATCCTTTACTTTTATGTATTGCTTTGATGGTTATTTTTTATGCACAGTCAATAAAAGTTAGATAAGCAGTAATGAGATAATAAGAAGGACAGCTAATTCATTCTCATTGTTTCATGAAAGAAGTCGACTGCATAATTTCTTTCCATCTCAATTTCTTCCCTGCAGAGTTTGCATTTTTTTCCCAATATTGAATTATTGTTCATTTTGTAATATTTCTTTTATTTTATATATTGTTACCACAACCCATCAAATCAATTCTTTTCCCAGGTGAATATAATCTGGATGGCATTAAAGCAATCCAATGGGGCAGAACTCATGAAAAAGATGCATTAGATTATTTGAAACACCATTATAATTTAAATATTCAATCAACAGGAGTATGGCTTACAAATTCAGGACTCCTTGGAGCTAGTCCTGATGGTTTAATTGATGAAGAAGATGCCATTGTGGAAGTGAAATGTCCATATTCCTTTAGAAATGATAATTTAACAGAAAAATTATGTAACCTAACAAATTACATTATTTATTATGATGAAGGAAATTTGTTACTAAATAAAAGTCACAATTATTATCATCAAATTCAAGGTTTTCTACATGTTTTAAAAAAGAAAAAATGTTACCTCTGTATTTGGACATTAAATGGCGCAACTGTTGCAAATGTAGATTATGATGAGTTATGGAAGGAAAATATTTTTCTTTTAGAAAATTTCTACATAGAACATTATTCACCAAAATTGTTAGGAAATTAAATAAATATGTTTTGAATAAATACGACTTTTATTTATTGATGTATATGTAATCAACAGTGGAAGCACAAAACAGAAAGGAGCAAGCAGTCAAGAGTTTGGTGCTCCTGCCACACTTTTAAATAAAATATAATTATACAATAGAAGTTTCTAAATGAAATTAACTACAGTGTGATCATTTTTACCTGATAACATTTGAATCTGTTATAACTTTTGCTAATAAAGGTATTAATTTGAGTCGAAAAATAAATTCTAATCACTTAATGACTAACCAATATTTTTTATCCAAACTATAAACTTTAATGGCGAGACAGTTTTCGCAGATTGAAATGTTATCGCACAAAAATCATAACTGTTCATAGAAAAACTCTATATAAACTAAAAATAAAACCAAATGTTCTTCTACTATAACAGTTTAATAACATTCTTCAACTTCTTTAATTAGCGGATATTGAAAGTTTGTTAAAGCTGCACACAGTTGAAAAATAACTGAAATTTGGGATATATAATAAGGTGGAACCTGCTGCAAAATATTATAACATTTCATTCCTCTGATGGCTCTTTCTACATGAATTCTGGCTTTTGCAATTTGCTGTGTTTCATATACTTACCTGTGACTGTGAACTGGGGTGTAGTTAAAACGGGTGGAATATTGAGCAACACCCCAGCAGGAAGAAGGTCTTTAATTAAAAAACCTTTGTCTGCTAGAATCATATCTCCAGGAACCATTTGATTTAAAACATTGCTCTGTTCAACAATCTTCTTGTCAGATATCGACCCTGGATAAGCTTTGCTAACAAATGTTATTACCCCATTTGGTGCCACTCCTACCAAAACTTTCCATGTATTTTTGAGTTTATAAGAACTGTATGTCAACCTCTGATTTTCCATGCTTGCTGGAACTGTTGAGTAAATGTCTGTAGAGTCTAATATAATTCAACAATTTTTAAAATTAGTAAATGCAGCTGGAAGGCAGGTTTGGTTTCTTGGTCTGGATGGTATTGTCTTCATCAAATGTTCAAATAGCACTTCATGCAAAGCGTAAATCCAAGTCATAGTAATAGTGGTAACAGTAACTGTGCTGCAATTAAATCTAATACTCAGATCAATCATCATGAGGTTTTCGAGCTCATGTTCATCTTTAGAAATTTTGTTAATACAATCGTTATAGTATTCATCGTCCGATGAATCGAGGTTGCCGGTTATTGCTTTCCATACGGTACCTATAGCGTTAATCAGACCGCGTTTCATCCGCGATGCGCTTACAGTGTCATCGAAGATCGCGTAATATTTAGATTCCAAGGAACGAGAAATTTGATAAAGGAGACTTGTATGAGTTTTAATTTCACCACTAAATATTTTCATACGATTGGTGGGTTTGTCTACGAGATATGATAAGTGTTCCAGAATATAGTTGTTATCGTCAAGTGCTTTCTTAATGAGTTCTAAGTCTTTATATACAAGGAGTGTCCAAATTTCGTTGGAAATCTTAAGAGGGGCGTCTTCATGAAAATAGAGACCTAAGGTGTTGTTAAGCGGTTTGATGTCCATCTGGGCTGTGACAGCCGCAAGAAACAGTAGACTGCACCTGAAAGAGAAACTAAGTCTCAAAACATGGTTTCAGTCTGTCAAAATTAACTTTACTTATTCTATTTGTTTCCGGGTTCTTAAGGAGCGCAGAATTTTCAAAAACTTGAGTAATTTCGAATGGACCATCAAATTTGTTCTGAAGCTTGTTTGAAATTTGAGACTGTTTCACAAAGACTTTATCTCCAACTTTATACGATTGTAAATTGGGTGACATTCTACTATCAAAGCGAATTTTTGCTTTTTGCTTCTGTTCGTCAGTTCTCACGCGGGCAATTTTGTAGTAATCGAGTTTCTTCCGAATGTCTCGAACATACTTGGACATCAATTCTTTTTCTAAATATACGTGTTCGGGCGGACGACCAGAGGTGTGGCCAAACACGAGCTCGTATGGTGTAAAGCCAGTAGTTTTATTTCTAGTGCTATTGTAGCACTGAACAGCATAGGGAAGAATATTGAAGGGATGTTCGTCGGGATTTTCGGATACATGGGATCTGATCATTTCCAATAAAGTGGCGTGAAATCGCTCAATCGAGCCATTGGACTGGGGATGACTGACACTAGAAAAAGTTAATTTAATGTCATAAAGACTACAAAGGTCTTTCATGAGGGCGTTGTTAAATTCTTTTCCGTAATCACAGTGTATTCGGAGAGGTGTACCATAATGATGGAAATATAAAAGTAGAGTATTTACCACAGATTTTGCAGATTTGTCGCTAATTGAATAGGCTTGAGAAAATTTTGTTAGCTCGTCTCGGATTGTGAGAGCGTAGCATTTAGGTGGGACTTCCAAAATGTCAATGTTGATTCTTTCGAACGGCGCTTTAGGGGTTTCAGTTACTACAAAAGGGGCACTGAGGTTTTTACGACAAGTTTTGGTCTTTTGACAAATTTCACACTTTTTGATGAAATGCTCAACGTCTTTAGTTAAGCCGGGCCAATTATATCGTTCACGAATTCGCCTAATTGTTTCATTAATTCCTCGATGAATGTTTTTCTTACCACAATGGTATTGATCTAAAATGACGGGATTTCATCAGGACTAGGAGTTTTGGTGACGTTTTGGCAAACGACAGGTTTGATATTATCATCCGAAAAAATAAAAGAGAAAATTTCTAAAATGGGTAAGTCCAAATTATTTTCAACGTAGATTTGTTGGGATAGGTCGAATACACCTTTGTTGGTTAAAATTACAGAGAAAAGATGCTGTATGCAAGTTACGGGATCGTATGGCACAGGAATAATATAGTATTTTCTATCTTTAATTGCTTTGCTAGACGCGATGTTAATTTTATCTGCAGAAAAATCAAGATTTTCCTCGAATATGTCTGAATATGGTGACGTTTTGGCAAACGACAGGTTTGATATTATCATCCGAAGAAATAAAAGAGAAAATTTCTAAAATGGGTAAGTCCAAATTATTTTCAACGTAGATTTGTTGGGATAGGTCGAATACACCTTTGTTGGTTAAAATTACAGAGAAAAGATGCTGTATGCAAGTTACGGGATCGTATGGCACAGGAATAATATAGTATTTTCTATCTTTAATTGTTTTGCTAGACGCGATGTTAATTTTATCTGCAGAAAAATCAAGATTTTCCTCGAATATGTCTTCGATAATTTTTTCGTGAAGATTAGATAGAGTGTTTTGTCTGAAAAACGTGACGATATGTTTATGACTTTTGTCTAGGAGTTGGGAATTTGAAATTTGGATTTTGGAATAATCGATCAGAGATGTGGTTTTGTAAAGGCGGGCAAAGATATCAAATTCACTTTCGGAAAATTGGGTAGAAGGTTCTCCTTCTTCGTCACTATGGGTAAGGGCGTTAACAGTTTTGGGTAATTTGATACGTGATAGGGCATCGGCATTTTTATTAGCCTTGCCTGGCTTGTACACTATTTCATAGTCGTACTCCTCTAGCTTGAGGCGCCATCTTGCTAATCTACTTCCGGTGTCTCGGCAAGAGAAAAGCCACGTAAGGGGTCTATGGTCTGTTACGAGTTTAAACTTTCGACCATACAAATAAGGTCTAAAATGTTTTACACTCCAGACAATAGCTAGAAGTTCTCTTTCAATGGTGGAATGGAATAATATAATAGTCTGGTAAGGGGTTTCGCAATTTTGGCCAAGTGTGGTATAAAGCGTCAGTAGTAACCTGCAAGACCTAAGAAAGATTTTATTTCTTTAGGATTCTTGGGCTGAGAGAAATTTTTTATGCAATCCACTTTATCTGGATTGGGCTTAACGCCATCAGGGGTTATTACATGACCAAGATAGGCTACTTCCTTTCTGAGGAATTCGCACTTATCAGGCTGGATTTTGAAATTCGACTTCCGAAGACGCGTAAAAATTTCGGTAAGCCTACTGATGTGTTCTTGGATGGAGGGGGAATAGACAATTATGTCATCCATTTATACAAGACATCTTTCGTTTTGTATACCCATCAAGATGTTGTCCATGACACGTTGAAACGTGGCAGGAGCGTTCTTGAGACCAAAAGGTATCCTCAAGAATTGGTAATGTCCATTTTCAACTGAAAATGCAGTTTTAGGAACATCAACTGGATTTATCTCGATTTGATGAAATCCAGATGCCAAGTCCAGTGTACTAAAGTACTGGCATTTCCCTAATTGATCAAGTAGATCGGAAATGTTTGTCAGGGGATATTTATCATCGATGGTGATTTCGTTAAGCTTACGATAGTCAATCACCATACGCCATTTCTGTTTACCAGAGGCGTCCATTTTCTTTGGTACAACCCACACCGCAGAATTCCATGGCGATGTGCTAGGTTCGATAATACCTTGTTTTAGTAATTTTGAAATTTGATCTTTGACTTCTTGCTTGTGGACATAAGGGTATCGGTAGGATTTGGTAAAAATTGGTTTACTGGTAGTGGTATCAATGGAATGCTTAATTTCGTTTGTAAATGACAGGCTATCACCATCTAAATAGAATATGTCCGAAAAATCTAAACAAAGATTCGTAATTAAATCTTTTTCCTCTTCGTTGAGATGATCGAGACGTAATTGATCTCTAATAACATCTCTACGGTTATACTGACTTTGATTTTGTAAAGAAGTGTTGAAATTATTGATAGAAGTTTCGTTAAAGGGCTCGAAAGTTAATTGGGGTAAAATTACATTTTTTGGAATGGCATTACAGTTTAATACTGTAGTAAGGAATTCGCCTTTAGAATCAATTTTAACTATGGAACTGGGTAGACGGACTTTTTCTACCTCACACGCCAGAAGAATGGCTTCAGTATTTCTAAGCTCGGATTTGAGCTTGACAACTTGTTCAACTCTGGGAGGAATGGAAATAACATTTTGAACTTTTTTCTTTAAATTGCGAAGCTTGGGACTTTTCTTTAAATTGAGAAGCTTTGGAATTATTTTCGTCACCTACTTTGAAAAGAGGGACTGTTTTGAAATTTGTAATCAATTGACGATTTTTCAAATCAATAATAAGAAAATCTGACCCAAGAAGGCCATCGAATGAAATATCTAGATCATGGACATAAATTTTGTGATAATCATTGGGAGCAAATGGGACTAAGACTGCTTCAGGAATACTAATTTTTTCGTCAGTAATACCTCGGATAGAGATATTTTCTGCGACACGATTAGTATCATTTTGACAAGTGTTACGTTTGAAAATGGAGCAACCTGCACCACTGTCAATGAGAATTTTGAATTTTCCAGTAGCATCTTTAATGTAATATAAGTTGTCTGGGCTAACGGGGTGAATTGTCGACGGGACTATAAACGGGTCCTCGACACTGAGATTCGCTAAGTTCGCACATACTATCGCGGTACTATCGTTGGATTCCGCAGGGGGTTTCTCTTTCAAACACTTGGTCCGAAAATCCTGGAATTGTTGTATGTCCGAATAAGCGTTGTCAACAAATGTATCGGCGGTTTGATTATATTCGTAACAAAAATCGTTACTGGGTTCTCTAAAATCATCGTATGGGGAAGGTGCGTAGGCGGAGTATTGGGTATCGTCATATTCATTAGCGTAGTCCGTGTTGTATAGGTCTGGTTCACCGTAGTCGGAATAATCGTAAGAATCAGGGGCGACATAATTAATTCGATTGGGAGGATTTTGTCTAAAATTTCTTTGTAAATTAGGGTTTTGGAAATTTGGATTGCTCTGAATTACAGAGGGTCTTGGCGCACTCGCGTTAGGCGCATTTGGTCGTATTACAGATGGTCTGGGAGGATATTGATTAGAATTTTGATGGTAGTTAGATGTAGATGGTCTAACTTGCATAGGTTGATTCGGCCTAGGGTAATTTTGAGGCTGGGGCTGGTTAAACTGTCTTGGGGCAAAACTTGTAGACTGTTGTCTCCGTTGGCATTCATTTGCCAAGTGACCGGGACGCTTACAAAAATTACAAATTTTAGGGTTTGGTCTTCGATTAACTGAATTTTGATTCGGGTTTGGGGCCCGTTTGATATACGAAACTGCGGTCAAGATATCCGTGGGATGTACTGATCGCACAACAGGTCCTATTTTTGAGTCTAATCCTGTTAAAAGACAATTTAAATGGGAACTTTGAGCAGATTTTTGCTTGCGATTTAGATTTTGCCTATTCACGGCGGAATGCATTTTGGCTTGCATGCGTCTGCAGTCTAGATGCAAAGGTTAGGGGTGATTCGTTGTGGAGTTGGCGCATGTGTTGAAGATCCGCGATTAAAGATGTGAGATCTCTAAGATCTCCAAAGTGCGTTTCTAACAGGGACCGTATGTCTTCCCACGTGGAAGGGTTTCGGCTGTTCACAAGTTCGGCGGCACGTCCGCCAAGTTTGTTTCTAATATGTAAAACGACGAGAAGCCGCTGCTCCTCGACGGCCATTTGATATGCCGTTCGGCACGCGTTGATGAAGGTCGATAGCAATATCGGGTTTCCATCGTACTCGGGTACAATCGAAAATATTTCAGATAATCTATAAGGTTCAATGTTCGCATGAACGTTATCAGGAATTTCAGCTGGTTGGTAATCATCTGAACCGTTAGTAGACATTTTAAATGGAAAGTTGTTTCAAAAAGATTCAATAATGTCAAGCGTAAACACAAAAATATATAAATGTAAAATAGAAAAATACGTAAAAATGGGGAAAAATACGTGAAAATCGACAATATATAGAGTAAATGCGCAAAAATGCAAATAAAAAGTTGTAAAAATCACACACACAGAGATAAATCGCAAAAAATAGTTAGATTAAAATTGTACGTTACCAAGGGTACATCGGGAGGCAGTCGTGTTCTCCAGGCGGCTGTTGTTTCCAGTAGTCTGGCTGCAGTTGGGTGGCTGCTGCTCGCTGTGTCCCCTGTTGTTTTCCTTCTTCTTGTTGCTTTGTAGTTTCTTACTTGTAGTTTTCCTACTTGTAGGTTTCTTTCTTCAATGGGTTTCTTTCTTCTTAAGGCTCGTTGGTCCTTTTCAGCTTAAAGGATAGGCATCCACCGCACCAGTTAGTATGCACGTGTTCTAATGCGTTGAAGCTATCCCACTTCTGACACCAATTTCTTAAATCATTAGATTTAGAAATAACTTTTTAAAAAATTTTATTTGAGGACTGAAGCTTCAGTCCATATAAAATACAAAGGTTTACAAATGTGACATTTACGGAGTCTAACCGGGTATTGAACAACAGGATATGACCGCGAGGCCTATTTATACATTCAGAAAGCTGACTAAGAATTAGCAGAAAACAGCAAAGGAACTATTCTAGCAACGGATTAGCGAGAAGTTGTTATCATATGCTGACACATCGTCTGGTGCAACATTGTATAATAACTGCGTAGTTACTATGGCCATATAACAGGTATAATGGTACAACTTAATGGTAAAATATTGTTCTAAAACTTGTTTACAGAGCAGTGGAAAATGATTACTTAAAGGTTCATCTTCGAATACATGGTCCTTAAATACATTTCCAAATCCAAGAGGTAAATTTTGCAATGTATAATTTGTTAATATTTTTTTGCCAACTTCTAACCTTTCCTTATATGACCTAAAGTAATGTTCTCCATATTTACACACATTTATTACAAAAGCGGAGGCTTTAACTAATTATCCATACGTTTTTCTTATTTGTAATTTCGATATAGACTCTCCTGAAGTTTCTAACAAATCTAAACAACTCTGGCATTTTATAGTCCCTTTTAGCCTCTTCACAACAAAACCTGCAACATATGCAACAACATGTTCCAGATACAGTGTAAGCTGCCAAGGCCTTATTAGAAGAAAGTTTTTAAATTGTATAAAATCTTCATCTTCCTCTATACTGTTTGATGATGAGGTCATATCCTCACTAATTTTGATCTCTAAAGATGATGAACAGTGCAAAATGGATGTGCTATCTAATGCCACGACATTGGATGCTTCATTGCCACTTATTTCAGTATGAAGTAATAATTTTTTTAAAATATTCTGAAACTGCTTCGAGGTAGGATTATTGCTGTATCCTCCTTTGCTTCTTATACAACTGAAAAAAATTTCCAAATGATCTTGAGATAACTTATATGTGAGAAGGTACTTCAGCTCTTTGGTTTCTTTGACTCTATATTCATACAGGCCCTTTAAACTGTTTATTGAAATTATGAATCCTAATTTTCTTCTAGAAAGTATAACTCTAGTGTCTCTTAATTTTAACGATTTCAAATAATCCTTCGCTTCTTCTAAGAAATTGAAATATTGTTCAGTAGCAGGTGACAACGGTTTCTCATGAGGTTTTTTTGACATCCTATTCCTTGAATTAAAAACATCAAATAAATTGTTTACTGTTCTACAAAAATATGCTATAGCTTCTGAATCCTTGAAGCCAGCCGTAGCCAGATCTTTGTTCAAAAAGTCCAATGCTTCTGCAACACTCTTGCTCAAAGTTTAACAAGTTTAACTTTCATCTTTTCATTCACCCATTGGAGATGTTTTTTCCTCAACTTTGTTGCCGCATGCATTCCAGTATCTTCTTGCAACTTAGCTATCTTTTCTAAGAAGGTCCATTGGATTTTTTCATTTCCATCAGTCAGTATTTTGAATGTCCCAAAGCAGTTTCTTATCAATTTCACCATATGGCAAGCATCAAAAAATATAAAGACAGGGTCTTTTGTGATTGGGTGCAAAAAGTAAGATTTGTCGCCTTCCACGTTAAAATTTTGCACATCGCAACATTTGAGGGCGCTCCATCAAATGTAATTGATGTAACTGTGACACCTGATGAGTGGACGAACTCTAAACAGTGCTCTAAAAGATTGACTTTTTCTGCGCCAGTGAGTCCATTAATGAGAAAATAGCCAACTGTCTTCCAAGAACAATTCAGTGCAACTAGCATGAGCACCAGCGCCTCTCTTGCCTCTTCGACAGTGTCTCCAGTGTCACCTGCATCACCAATGCCTAGGTCCACGTATCCGTACGTTCGCTTCCCATCCCACTCTACTTTCTTCATTATGCACATTTCGTCAAAAACTAGATTGCAGAGGATCTCTTTTTCTTGGTTTCTGGCTTCTGTGACTTTTATTTTCAGTGCTTGTCAAGCCTCTGTCAAAAATCCGGGAGACCCATTACCTGATGCATACCACTTAGTTATGGTACTGGTGTGGGGTAATATTTTATTCAATTTTGTTCGTACATAGTTGTACGCCTTTTTTGAATAAAGGTGTAAAGTTAGCGCAAAACGACGCAGTTCTGCACTATATTTTTCTTTTTTTCGGCCACTTTGAATTTTGTTGAAAATGTCTTCTGCAATGGAGCCCTGAGAAATGAGGATTTTTAACAACAATCAAAAAATAAACATGTAATCACTTACATCAAGCATGTGTTGAGCATTCTCCGATATCATATTTATTCGCTTCAAATGGTTTATCAATGCTTGAAGAGACCAAATTTTGTTTGCTTGTCTTCCTGATTTGGCTCGTAAATAGTCAATTCTCTTTCTTTGTTTCTTATACGTGTTTTGAATGACCTTCCAGCAAATTGGCCTTTTAAGTGGGTTTTCCAAATCAGTATAACGTATATCGCCGAAGTATCGAATAGGTTTTGTTTTCATTCTGAAACATTCAAAGCTTAAATGCTACTATAAAGCAAACGCCAAATCTACATAAACGTCACCTTTTATCAAATCTTTACTTCAGGTTTAATTACCACCAGACTATACTTGAAGAATCAAAATAAAAGCTTAATACCTTTTCCGTTGTCACCTTTTGCTTCTATGAATGTGTTTAAAATCCTGTAATAATGAAAATACAATGCACCAAAATAAAGACTGATATTAGCTGGCTGACCTTGAAAATAAAAGTAGTTAGGTACGTACATCATATCTAATTCTGAGGTATGGGTACAGGACTGTGGTGTCACTGGGATACTTCCAGTACCTGATTTTGAAGCACTTAATGTAGCGGTTTCAGATAATGACTGGGTACCTGACAGCGAAGCTGATAGGGTGCTACTATCTGTTGTTCGATCTTGTTCAGGAAAACTGTATTCACATACCATTTCTGTTGCTACTTCTGGTGACTTTATTTGTTCTCTGTAAACACTTCAATAGTCAAACTTCTAGATACTTAGGAGATTATTTAATTTCATACCTAGGTAGATCCCTGCTTTCCAGTTGTTCACTATTTGAATGGCTTAGGGCAATTTTCTTGGCAAGATTGATTTCATTCTCCTCATCACTGGAATCACTTTAAAATAGATAAGTAAAAGTATAGCAACAAAATATTCCATTTCATCCAATAGCTAAATATAATTTAGGACTTACTCTGTTTGCCTCAAAGGTTCTACTGATGGAACTGCTGAATGCTTTAGTTGAGTTCTTTTGCCTTCTATTAAATATCTTTTGTGAAAATGATTTGCGCAAATAAAGGCATGAAGTGGTAAATCATTTATGTCAATATTGAGGATAGTGCACCTCTCTTCTTGTTTTTCTTTTCACTAGGAAACCTGAAAGATCAAAAACGTGTCTAACAGAAGAGTATTTTTTGAAAATCACCACACATACAGTGTAAAAACAACCAATAACTATAAAATGTCTATTTCTTAATACTAAAAATCACAACGCATCCACATGCGCTACGCCCTTGTCCTCCTCTAACCTCTATCTCACCTGTGGAAGGTTGCCTCAGTTTTTTCACTGCTAACTCCACAAAGAATGCGCTTCCGACATCCCATTGTCTTTAAAAATTGTCTATCAAAGATAACAATGCTATAATTGCCGCTAAAACAACCTGAAAACACTTTTGAATACTCGCAACAAATTCACTGTGCACACCAACAAACACCAGATATTTGTAAATTCTGTGTACGCATCCACCACTTGCCGTTGAACACCGTTGCCACGTTCGGCAAAAAGTCGGTAGAAATGTGCTACTTTCGAATGAGAGCAAGTTTCGTCCAAGGTGGAACAAATCCAGTCAAACAACTGACTGGGCAAAATATTATATGTAATGTTCGCTGTGAATTACCCAACATGAACCTGCATCCGTTTTGAATTGAATTTACGGCATGTCGGCCACCTCTGTGACCGTTTTTGCGAGTATAAACAAATATGAAAATAAAAATACATTTTCAAAATTTAAAATGACATTGACAATTGCCTAGGAGCAGTTGTTTGATCGACCCACGATCGACCGGAGCGTCCACACCTTATTTAAGTCCACCTTCATTTCGGGCGGAGTGCACACCAATATCTCATTCCATTTTCAATAGATTTTTCAGTATGGAGAAGTGGCAGCGTCGCATATATTTGTTTACCGTAAATACAGTTATGTTGACGACATGACGACGATATTTTGTAGGGAATTATTTAGACGGGTCCACACTATGTAACAAAATATGTTAATGACAAAGTTGTACAACAAACTTGCTGTACAACTTTGTTGTGTAACTTGTTATAATATAGCACAAGCATCCAGACTATATAACAAAATACAAAACAAAAAAGTGCGCATATTTTTCGCAGCATTTTAGCTGGTAGGTGGTAGTATGTAAAATGTCGTCAAACGTAGAGGATGCCATAATGGCAGCAGCAGCTTGCGTAATTTTGTGCAGGCGACACCGACGTGTAAAGCGAAGATTTTGGGTGCGGCGTTCATTAAAAGCTCGAGAAATATGTAGGGATACCGCCCTTTTAACTGATCTGAAAAGAGATGACCTAGACCCATCGACAGGAGACATTAAATGTGATGGCAGTTTTAAAAACTTGTTAAGAATGACAAGTTCTGATTTTGACTATCTTATAAATGAAATCGGCCATAAAATATGTTAGGCAGGAAAGACACAACATTTCGAGATGCAATTCCAGTACGAGAAAGATTAACAGTTACGATGAGATTCTTAGCAAGTGGAGATTCCTACCAAAGTTTAAGCTATTTATTTAAATTTTCTAAGCAGAGTATTTCTAATATTGTGCCAGAATTTTGTGACGCTCTCAATGACTGTTTAAGAGATATAATCAAAGTAAGTATATTTTTTAAACATTTTATTCATTTAGTTTCATAGAGAAAGTAACATTTGCGTAAAATTTAATCCATCCTCGTTATCTGCACCTGTGCATGATTGAGTGTCAGTGTCTGTTTGAATTGGTGTAGCTGGGGAAGTTACGGGTGTAGGTGTAGTGGACGGAATGGAGGATGCCTGAGGTATATTGTATGATTTAATGCCTGTTTGATCTGATGTAGCTGGTGAAGCAGCGGGCGTCGGTGTAGCGAACGGAGTGGTGGATGTCCCAGGTTGTATGTCTGAGAATATTATTTATTTCAAATTTGGCGTAGATTTGCACCGATTTGCTCTTAAGGTTTCGCAAGGTGGTCGCTACATATTCACCATACACATCAAAGTCATCTCGCTTTTTCACGTTACTTGATAGTTCTTTCATTGCCGCGTACGCTTCTTCAGATTTCGTGTCTTTTGCCATTCTCTTGTTGCCTTTAGTTATAGGTATACGTGCAATAGTTTCATTTACTGTTTTTTCTTGACGTTTTTTTGTATCATTTTGCACCTTTGCATGTGGCTGTGATCGCTCTTCTTCCTATAAAATCAGAAAAAAACGAAAATAGTATTTTGATATATAACGATTAAAGGCCTGTTTCAAGAAGACGCGACACAAACCAGTCAGAGTCAATGATTTGATCTAAAAATTGTCACATGTCAATTCTCTGACTGTTTCTGAGCTGTCCGATTGGCTCTGACTGGTTTGTGATTCTTCTAGAAACAGAACTTAAAACATGTATTGAAATGAATATAATAATATAGCATAATTCCTCTTTCTTCAGGTACCCAAATATCAAGAGGAATGGCAACAGATTGCAAATGATTTTGACCAGAAGTGGAATTACCCTCACTGTTGTGGCAGTATCGATGGAAAACACATATGCTTACAAGCTCCAATAAATACTGGAAGCGACTATTTCAATTACAAGGGATTTTTCAGCATAGTGCTTTTAGCTATAGTGGACGCTAACTATTGCTTTACGTTTGTAAACATAGGTTGCCAAGGTCGTTTGTCTGATGGCGGAGTATTTGCTAATACAACATTTAAAAAGTTACTTGAAACCTCTTCCTTGAATCTCCCATCAATGAAAGTTTTACCGGGAAGAATATTAACTTCACCTTTTGTGTTTCTTGGTGATGAGGCATTTGCTTTACAGCCGCATATGATAACATCCTTCCCAGGCACTCAACAGAAAGGGTCACCGGCTCGGATTTACAATTACAGCAGAGCAAGACGTGTAGTCAAAAATACATTTGGAATTATGTCTGTTATATTCAGGGTATTTAGAAAACCAATGCTTCTTGAGCCTCAAAAGGCAGAAAGGGTAGTTTTAGCAAGTTGTTATCACCAGGAACTTTTGATTCAGAGGACGCGCTGACGGGAGAATTAATACCTGGTACATGGAGAGTCGAAGGTTAGCCAAATGGTACTTTGCTAAAACTTAAAAAGATTCCCAGGAAACCTACCGTGCTAGGCAAAGAAATACGAGAGGAGTTCTCTTTGTACTTTACCAGTAAGGAGGGGAAAGTGCCGTGGCAGAATAATTTTTGATTTCAAATTTTTTATTAATTTAAAGTGTGCTTACCTCAACCGCAGTGATATTCCCAGTGTCCCGTGTCTCAGTATCTTGCTTGGGAGATAGACCACCTTCAGTAGAATGACGTGCCTCATTTTTGTCTTTTAAAAATAAAAGCATTTTAAAAAAAAGCCATTTTGTTTTAAAAGGGGCATCAGCTCCATCGCCACTCTTTCCTTTTTTCAATTCTCGCTGAAATTGCCCAATCAGCATGCGCATTTTTTTTCTACTTCATTTGTATCTGTTTTCACTTCTGCAGCTATTTCAGTCCATGCGTCGTGTTTTTTATTTCTATTTTTAAAATCCATAAATGTAGGATCCCAAAATAGTCGTTGCTCACTAAATAGTTCAATTAAATGAGTAGTCAATTCTTTCGACCATTCCATCGTGAACAGATCAAAGAAAAATGTAGCAAAACAAACAAGACGATGTGACACCGACGGTTCCCGTTCTTGTACTACTCCAAACACTATTCACAGTGCCAGGGAATGTTTCAATAACCTGTTTTTAAGTGTAGACCAGTCACACTGCGATTTTACAACAAAGTTTTATAACTTTCTTTGATCTTTACCGACAACTGATGGATAACATAAAACATGCTATATAACCTGCAAAATGTTATACAACACTGTGTTTTATAACTTTTTTATCTAAAATTCTGTAACAAGTTACAAAACTTTGTTATTTAACATGTTTTGTTACATAGTGTGGAACCGTTTTTTGTCTATTTATATTTTTAGTCTGAGGAATTCACCGTTATAACCGAATTTGTTTGGAGCCAATCTAAGCTCCGCCCATCGCACTGAAGTCAGACTTAGGCTGTCTATAGCTCCATCCATTAGTCTGACGTCACGCAGACATGAGTCAGAATCTAAACGAACCTAAACAAAGTTTGTTGGCATTAGAGCTATTCAGTGACTACTTTATTTGCGTCTTTTTTCCTGTGGTTTGATCATTTTTGATGAAATTAACTTCTAAAAGTAAGTATTTTAATCATTATTTAAACAAAGCATGATAAAGTAGCACGCATAAATGACTGTATAATTTTGATAACGAAATATACGTTAGGTTGTAATAGAATTAAAAAAGTTAAATTAGTATTTTCCATAACTTATTACGTGATTACAAAAATATAAGATGCATAACTAACACGAGCTAATTTTCAGTGTCTTCGCAACGTGTTATTTCGTTTTCGGCAATAGGGGAATTTGTCAAAGATGATATATCCCAGCTCCAACGCAGTGAAAATGCTTTCGAGGGTGGGAATGTTCTCAAAATGCTATTTGGTGCAGAAGTTTTACCAGCACTATTAAGTGGAGAAGTCGCCGCGAGTATGAAGAAAAAATGTTATACTGTGGAGGTAATACTAATACTGATGTATATGAATGTTTATTTTTATATTAATGAATGCTCATATTTCTTATGATCTTGATGATGGAATAGTGATATCTACAAGCCCAAGTATTTGGGATTTAAAGCTGGTCAAAGAAATGCAACCAAATCTGAGATTGAAACATTCAGTCAGTCACTACTCCTGTAGGATTTACATGGTGGTTGTTGCCAGAGCCTTCAGTAGACCTCATGTTGTTACCAGACATTGAGGCAATAATTTTCTCCAGCTAGTACACAACAGCCCCTAATAAAGAAGACTACTTGTTATAGAAATGTTGTGTAAGTGCAGATATTATAAGGAAAGTTGCAGAGATGATGTTAGACGGATATGATTTGAGTGGTGTTCGGGCTATTCAGTGGGGAAGTGAGAATGAACGCACTGCCATAGAAAGATTTCAAGATATTACAGGATTACTTGTGAGAACCTGCAGGATTCTGCCTTGATGAATGTGATTTTTTAGGTGCAAGCCCTGATGGATATATGTATAAGTGAAAATTGTACTATTGAAGTGAAATGCCCTTTCAAACATAGGAATGAAGAAAAATTGTCAGAGGTACTCACTAAAAATGAAAATTGTTGTTTCGTATTATAACTGTTCCTGAACCATTAATGAAAATCATAATTATTATCACCAAGTGCAAGGACAGTTACACATTACAAATAAAGATATGTGCTATTTAGTGATATGGATTCCAAAAGATATAGTAGTTATGAGAATTTCAAGAAATGATTTAAATATTTTAAAATCAATTTACTGTGAACAATTTCTGACAAATATTTTATCATGATTGAAAATAAAACAATATTTATGCAACTGGTATTTTATTTGCCATTGTTTACAGACATTATCTTCTCTACCAGCTGTCAAATTATTTTGTCCACAATTATGTGCTCTAGACGATGGAAACCATATTTGCACATAAAGGATGTTTGATTAGGTAGCTAGTAGAGCAGATGAATTATAAAGCAGTATCATACTGATGTGTGAATGAAACAAGTGCAGGACAGTTATTTATTATTAATTCATGTCACTACTGTATTATTATACTATAACCTAGATACACTATTATACTATATATATATATATATATATGTACATATCAATTTTTATGCCAAACTACAGCTTATGGGTACCTTCAGAATAAAACTGTTCAACTTCTCTTATAAGTGGATACTGTAAGTTTGTCAAAGCACCTATAACTTGAAATACTGTATCTGCATGTGGCAACACAGCATATGGAATAAGATCTAATATACTGAATGTTTTTATCCTTCTTATTGCACGTTCAACATGAATCCTACCTCCTGCAATACATTCTGTTTGTCTTACCTGTTCAGCAGTGAACTGATGTGTTGTAAGAAATGGTGGAATGTTAATATTGACACCAGAAGGCATTAAGTCTTTTATTAAAAAACCTGTAGGGTAGAGTGGGGTTAACTGGACCAATCAAAATTTAAACTTTGTTTTTGACTAGAAAATCGTTGCTAAAAAAATATCTTTATGACCATGCTTTGGAAGTTATGTAAGTAATTGGAAAACGTAATGTTTAAAGTTAAATTTAAATTTATGTGTATGACAGATTGACATTTTTAAAAACCTATCAAATTGTCCAGTTAACCTGCCTGTCAGGTTAACTGGACCACTTATGCAGGTTGACTGAACAGAGGTACAAACAAGATATATTTTTTAAATTTACTTTTACTTAACACTTTCTACATGGAAATTTTGTCAGCTTCTTATGATTTAGTGCCCTGGAATCTTCATGCGCCGCCATTTTTGTTATTTAATTGACAGAAATATACAATAAATTTGTCATCAATTGTTAAACAGCAAAAATGGCCATGCATGGAAAATTCAGGGCACTAAACCATAAGAAGGCTGGCAAGCTTTCCATCATTTACTATTACCAACCTAATACCCTAAATACAAGTCTAGCCCTCTAGCGAATAAGGCGACTAGCTATAATAGAAATGTAAAAAATATATCATAGAAAATATGTCAACACTTTTTAACAATCATTTTTATTTATAATAAGAAACATACTGAAGATACATTAAAATATTATAGATACTTTTAATAAACTGTAAAGTCAAACATACTGAACATGTATGAAAATATTGTAGGTAATTTTAATAAACTGTAAAGTCAAATTCATTTAAATCAACTTGAAATGACACCATGTTGGCATATCTAGCGGTGTTACTTTTGGCTGGCATGGGTAACTTACAAACAATATCAGCTTTTACAACAAAGCCATTTTCATTATTTTTAAAAAAATATTTTGTTTCTTTGTGGCGTTTCAAAAAAGTAACCTCAAAACCATCATTTACAGCATGAATAATTTCACCAACATAATGTCTGAAATTTAATTTATTTTGCCCATACACTTTCACGATTACAAAATCGCCTTTTGTCACAGCTTGTGGACTATCGTCATATGCATCAAATTCTTCTAAAGAATCCGAGCTTTCTTCATAGATAACACTTCCATCATCAGAAGAGCTGTCTTCTAGAATACGTCTTTTTACTGCCTCTTTTTTCTTGTTAGTTGTTTTGTTTTTTTGTGTGCTTTTTCTTCTCGAAGTCTTGCTTCTTCCTCTATGTTCTCTTTGACAGGAGTGTCTGTCAAAATCAGGGATTTTCCTTTCTTTCGTCGAATTGTAGACTTTCGTTCCCAGCTTTGGGGAGAGGACGGATCTGTTCAGGAGTTATAATTTGTAATGTCGGCTTTTTTATCTGAATTGAAGATAAAGTCGGTTTGGTTTGTGATTTTTCAGTTTGTAGTTTAGCAGTGCTCGACGATTCAGCTTGTGATCGTCCGGCTTGTGATTCTTGATATTTTGAGAGCTGAAATTGTGACAGAACAGGATCTGTCATGCCATGTTGAATCGGTTTAGGCAGTGATGTATTATCTTGTGACGACCCAGCTTGTGGTGCCTCTTCCTCTGATGTTTTCCCTGGTCTATCTGTAACATATGACGAAAGAAATAATTCATCCGAAAATATTTGGTCATTAAACGGCTCTATTCCTGCTGCACGAAATCCACTGCATATATTTTTTGGAGTAAACGCTTGCAAAAAAGCCTCTCCAACCAGACTTCCGATGTCATAAACAGTGATAGGTTTTCCGGCATGATTTACCATCCATCTGTCACAACTTGCACCATAATATTTTTTAAATGGCCCAAATACTGCTAAATCCAATGGTTGCAGCTTGTGTCTGCAATGGGGTGGCAATGTCAAAAGGAGTATACCGTTTTGCTTAGCAAAATTTAGTGCTGCAATACCTAAGTGGGAGAAACAACTGACTGTTCATCCATCCAGAAGGCGAAGCTCCACCCAAAAATGCCTCCACATTTGTCTTATTTAAACTGGTTGCCCTACTTAAGCTTGTTTGTTCTGGCGTCCTCAACGAAAAGTTATGCCTGTTCATAAATCTAAACATCCACTCTTTGCCTGCCATTGCTTCTCGGAACCAACTTTCTTTTATGGTTTTGCCATTGGCGACCGCAAACTCGTAAGCTAGAATACGAGCTTGTTTAGAAGACAAGCCATAGTGAATGTAAGATGCATGCTCTAAGTATTTTTTAAGAAGTAATTCTTCATCGGGACTAAAAGCCAAAAGATGTTCGTTGTTGGGGCGAAAATTTATATCCAAGTTGTTTTTTTCCCGACATTTATCGACATACCTTTTTAAAGTAATTCTTGAGATTTTAAACTGAAGTGCAACACTTCGAGTTGTTCGACCATGTGTCAGGACTTCTTCACATGCTTGTCTAAGATTTGCTACACTATATGATCTGTTATTGGTAGTACGTAGTCTTTTTCTTGGCATATTCTAAAAAATAAAATAAATTTGTAGACAAAATAATAATAAATAAATAACGCAGGTTAACTGAACACCTGTTCATATAACCACATACATGAGATGTCCAGTTATACCCACTGTGCACCAATACATAAGCAAAAGAAAAATTTGATTAAAAAATAATGTTATGCTTAGGTAAACAAGAAATAAATGGTAAAATACTTACTGGAACAAAATATACGTCACACCAATTTTAAAACTCTATTTTGCTAACTGTAACACAAAAAAACTTGGGAGCACAAATTTTACGTGGCGGCCATTAAAAATATGTTTGCTGATTTACGAGATTAGAACCGTCTTAAAAGAAATCTGCACCGAACAGTGTCAACACACGTAACAAAAGACGCTTTCAGGCAAAATCAAGTTTAATTTATCATTACTAGATGGCAGGAACATCGATGTGTTCAGTTAACCTACCTGTTCAGTTAACCCCACTCTACCCTATCTGCCAATACTAAAGGTGGGTTCATGCAAGACTTAACGTAACTTAACTTAAAAAATAAGCATTTAAAGCGCATGCGCGGCCAGGATTGCCAATGTAGCAATGGCGACAATATCAACATTAAACACACTAACAAAATCATATGTTTAACCACAGCCGTGTACACCTATAACATAAATCAAAATACATGAAAGTTGTCCTGTTTTCTCTGTACAAAAGCATCATGTTGAAATCAAAAAGTGGTCTTGTTTATAATACAGTCGAATTTTCACGATTTTATTCAACATTTTAATAGAAATCACTGATATTCTGAGACCTTTGACAGCTTCCGTCAAATTGCATTTCGATAAGGTCTTTTCCTATTGGTCCATAATATTAATGTTGGTGAAATCGGTTCTAAGATGGTTAATCGGTGCGGACTCTTGAGATTTTTGTCTCCACCAAGAAAAGCATGGCGGGACGATTGAATTGCAAGTAGTGATGAACAGCATCAATGTTGCTGTTAATCCCGCAGATGTTCGTGAAACAAATTTTATCTTCGATGTTGTTCCCTCAAGTCCACCCTACACCCGGACATTCTGAGAGTGAAGTGAGCTTACATCCGGAATTCTTAGTACTCGAGGGATCCATCATTAATTTCTTTGTTTTGGAATATAACCGACTGCACAGCTTAGGTGTGGAAACATGAGAACATTTATAAGACACCCTGGGAAAAGGGTGGTACCGCCTCGGTCGACTGGTCCTTATCTACCCACCTTCTTTTTGCGTGTTAGTGATATTAAATAGACCTAAAGTGGCCCTTTGGCGGACTTGTACCGCTACCCGGCAATCGTTACTGATTCCTTAACGCGTGTATAATCACTTGAATGCGAAGAAGTTGTATGCTGGATACAACAACTTCCGGAACAAGCGTTTGCCACGGCCAAGCTCAGTGGGGTTTGGAGTTTTTGAAATTCAATATAGATGTTACAGTTATTTTTCAGACTTTCGTTGTCGAGCTAAGATTTACGCCATAGTCGTTGGTTTCTCGGTTTTCGAACCGGTG